CCTACATGAGTCTTTAAATGTCTTCCTGCTTTTTAGAGCTAATTATTTACATAGTAAAGAATTTTAACAAGTGGGTTAACTATAAGTGGTACTTGAGATGGTTGGAACTGTTATGACACCAGTTATTTCAATGAAACTGTCCCACAAATAAAAAATATCGAAGCCCTCCCATCTCGTCAGCTCTGGAGGAAATGAGAGAAGGGTGTTGGTGAAGTTTCTGTTCCCTTTTTCGGTGGTTACGGCGGTGATGCCTGTTGGAGACCACCGAGGCAAACTGGAGTCGAATTATAAAACGTTAGTGACTCGACCCAGTCCTCCGCTTTTTTATTGAATTAAACATGGCGGACGAAACGGACACGATTGGATGCTGAGGAATCTGTAAAGCGGACGACAGGAAATGAGGCTTTTCGATCTGTCTCGCTTAAGAAAATTAGCATTTCTTTTGTTCGTCATCATTTTGATCACTAAATATGCTGCCTTACCGATATTTAGAGCTCTCAGGAGGTATGTTATGTAATGATTATAACTGTTTTTGATATCCTAGTAACGGAATGTTTTTCGATTGGATCTGTTTCTCTAATCTTTTGATTAGGTTTTGTAGGGTACAAACTTTTTTTTACTAGATTTCCCTATATACTTCATTTTGCACGCAGTTCTTGACTTAAAAAAAATGGTAAAACAACAGATTGCCGTTGAAACTATGGCTTTGTCTTTTTTGTTGTCCAGTTTTTTTCCCACTTCCCTTATTTTTTTGCAATCATTTGGCTTATTTTTCGAAATAGGGATCGGTAAAACTTGAAGATTCGGATAGACTGGTTTCTTTGTCCTCCTTATATGGGTGGCTTCTCTTACTAACAATACCTGATTTTATTTTTTCTAGCAATAAGTGCCATTCTGTCAAAAGCATTTTGTTTTTGAAAACACACAAGACAGGAGGAAGCTCCGTAGCAAACATTTTATTCAGATTTGCTAGAGGAAAGGATTTAAGAGTGGCCTTACCAAGGAGTCAAATTTTCTCTTTTTATTGGCCCTGGAGTTTTCAAGTGAATTTTGTTGACAATTTACCAAGTGAGAAGCCAGATATCTTGTGTAGTCATGCAAGGCAAGTGAAATAATTTCTATCTTATAGAGGGCCAGTTTGCAGGGTATGTTAAGATCATGTGTGATTTTTTCCTGAGCACTCTCTTCACAATCCAGAAAAGTAGCCCTTAGCGCAGAAGCTATAAAATTAAGTAAGGGTGCTGCAACTTTGCCCATTTCCATTTCTCAAGTCATATTGCGTAGGTGCAGAAATCTAAAAAATTGCTTGGCATAGCCAAGATCTTGAGGAGTTCTACCATACTCTGTTTCTTGTTTTACTACTGTTTTAACCATTTACATCTTGACATCAGTATGCATATTCTCCACACTTTTCTGTACACATTCCTGAGGTATTGACAGGAAGAATGTTGAAAAATCAAGAGGTTCTTTAGCTGGTGATCATTTCCTTTATTCTTGTGACCTCAATGTTTGATTCAGTGGTGATATTGTAAGGAGAAATCAGCTGCTGGTCACTCTCAGGGGGTTAAGGGTTAATAGTCATCCTTCTAGGTTGGGACCATTTCTAGTTTTGATTTACCACCCAGTTCCTACAAATGGAAATTGCATTTTTTTCTACTATTTTCTTTTCAGATACAACCAAACCTCCATGAGGCTATTGATGCCCCCTGACACAAAGTTCTTTACTATCCTCCGACATCCCATTTCAAGATTTGAATCAGCATTTCTTTTTGAAGATATCCCAGCCTTGCTTGGTATCTCTAGCTCTTCAAATCCTTTCTATCAAATTTTACACAGACTTGATAGATACAAGTCCAATGTAAACACTATGTACACCCTAAGAAATGGCATGAGTTTTGATCTTGGACTTGAACCTGAGGACTTTGAAAACACTCAAGTTATTAGAAACTTCATCTCCTCAGTTGAGAGAGATTTTGATCTGGTGTTACTTCTAGAATATTTTGATGAGTCTTTGGTATTACTGAAGCACCACTTTTGTTGGAGTTTAGAGGATGTGTTATATCTGAGACACAATGCAAGGGTACGTTCCTTCAAGAAACACCACATACCCAAGCAGTTTAGAGATAGATTTTTGCAATGGAACAAAGCTGATGTCTTTCTTTACCAACACTTTAATAGAACATTTTGGAAAAAAGTTGACTCTCAAGGTGAAAACTTCTGGCATGAAGTACACCTCTTGAGAAAGAGGTCTTTGGAGATGAAAGAAGAATGCCTTGTCCCTGGGGAGCACAGAGATAAAAAGTCACAAACAGTTTCAAAATTAGTGCTAAATCCAAACATTGGCAAAAGAAACCAAGAGCTTTGTGAAGATCTGATAAAAGATGAAGAATCATATCTGAATTTCTTCAGGGGTAAACAATTACAGAGGTAATGAAAATTATATTTATCTGAGATCTAATATATATCTGAATTTTGTACACATTTCAAGAGGTTGAACATGCATTGATGCTGTGAATTTATCAATTAATGAGGCAAATAAAGTATTCAGAGTTTTTCTAAAATGTTCGTCAAACAAGATATTTGAAAATTTGAAAATGATGTCTTTCCTTCACAGTGTAGATGAAAACCATTTGTTTTTTAAATGGAGCTTTAATTAGGTCTCTCATCTACACAAATCCAGACCAAAAGAAAAGCTTTTCATGATCTTTATGGTAACGGCCCTTCAATTGTCTTCATTTGATGATTAAAAACCACATTGTGTGCATGCTGTTTTAGCTAAAGGTGTTGCTGCATTTTAAGATTCATCAGCTACAGTGTGGATGAAAAACATTTTAGCCGTTTTCTAATGAAGAAGGAAAATGAGTGTAAGACAACCTGAAAAATGGGAAAAATATGAAAAAAAAATAGTGATTTACCACATGGATAAAGGCCACTGAAGAACGGTGCATAGCACCAAGAGATGGGGGAGGACTAGGAAGAAAAAAAAATTGTGGGTGATTGCCTCCAGTTCAACGACTTTGATCCTTGGAGTGTTAAGAATGAAACTCATTTAAAATTATTTCATGCAAAACACCCTCTCTGCAGTTTCATTTCATTCATTTATTGAACTGATCAAAAAGCCATGCTTGTTGATATGTTTCATACAGCTGAGGTAGTTGTTACCTAAGTTATTAAAATATTTAGCATATATAAACTTTATAAAATTTTATTGGAAAGACAGACACGAGCTGCTTTAGGGAATTTTAGAATTACTTAATAACGTCTAGAGGGCGAGATTAGTTCTGTTAGTTCCACAGCAAGTGTGTCATCCCACAGATGGAATTCCTGGCCCACGTCCAAACATATCCTTGACACGCGCTATTGACAAAATTATGCTGTCTACCTTCTCATATGAATTGTTGGGTCTATATGGATTGCCTGACAAATCTTAACACTTATCTGTCAAAATGCGACGCACCTATCACCGCGCTATATATTTGATGGTTGATTTAAAAAAAACAACAACAACAACAACAGAAAAACAGGTTTTTCTCATCGAGGTACCTTACCGTAAAGTAAAAGAAAAACGGTGACGGACTGTCTAATAACAAACGCCAGGCATGTTTATGAAGTCATCTTTACCAAGCTTTCAATTTTGTTTATGCGAGTATCTATGATTCTCATGTTTGAATCGTTTTCATCTTAGCCCGCACAACGGGAAAATCGTCAGCGGAGAGTTTTTTTTTTTCTTGTTTTCTGGTTTAATCCTTTCCACGTGTCCGTTTACTTCATATGAAACTCATCGTAATGCTGAACTCCTTCATGTGCAGATTCGAATATAAACTTGCACATTTTGCAAACACAGTTGGCATCGAGCCAGTCAAGAAGCGTTGTCCTTCTCCCGTCGATAACCCATGCCGACACCCTTTTGTCTTTTCGTAAGATCTTCGCTAACTCTTCGTAGCGCCGACCCTGGCCCGAGACCAAGTAAACATCGGGTTTCTTATGCCTTGAAAAATCGAACGAACTCGCGTAGTAGACGAGCAAATCTTCGACAGCATTCGGAAATGATGTCAGTGAAGAGTGCTTCATGATGATTGGACGGCCGTCGTGGTGCCTTTTGTCGGGAATCATGCTGCGAAGCTGATTTTGGTCGGTATCTTTACGGTGAAACACATGAACCTCAATTTGACTTCGCGTAGGGAATCGTATGTCTCGTAAGAAATCTTTACATGTTTCCCATTCAATAAAAAATACAGTGTAGACGAACGTCATTTCTTCAGAAGGATCTGTACTGTAAATATAAGCAAAGCAGAAATGAAATTTTCAGACTTAAAATTTCTCTCATCTGTCTTATTCTCAAGTGATCGAAATGGCAAACACAACTAAAAATGAGTGCCAACAGCAGGATACGAGACAGGAAGTTGAATTTTATTCGGAACCAGCTGTGAATTTTAATAATATTTCGTCGCGCCGCTAATTTTTTTTTGCATCAAATTCAGTTTTAATATTTCCTTCCTGTATCGTAAATCGGCTGCGCCCTTTATCTATGAAATATTTGCTGAGCTGTAGGGAACTCATCTGTATACTTCCTAACAAGTTTAAACATCGACTTATTTCTCAAAATTGACAAGCTATCAATTAAATCCGATATAAGGATTCAGAATTTTAGGTGAATTTAAGTTTGCTCGTTAATCGAGAGCCATACCAAATTGCTGTGGTTATAGCACCACTTTCGGAAGAGAGTTTCAAAAAACAGCGCGCTTTCTGGGAGGTTGTCATAAAATCTTTCCCTGTTTTGGTGACAACACATGTTTTCCTTGGGTGAACCAGGGAAACTTTTAAACCTTTTTGTGATTCCGGAGAAAAGCAGCGAGTATAATGAAGAAATGGAAATGTTAGGTAAACCGAAATTGACCGGCTGGAATTAAACGCGTACGCTGCCCATATCTTTTTAATTGCAAAAATATTTTGTTATCTCCAGCTGAATTACATTTATTTCATTCGACTGCAGGGCTAATTTCTCATACTATTTTTCCGGGACAAACATAATTATTTTGATCATCGGTTGTGAAAGCGCGATACCATTAGTCTTCTCCATTTCCCCTGATGTTTCGTGCTGTGAAGTTTTTACTTTAGCGAAATGAAATTGTTACCAACCTTAAGGATCTGCTTCTTCCGTAAAGCGTCATTCGAGATATGTGAAGTAAAGGATGTTATCAAAGGAACTAACGAGGTGAAGAACTATTTATTATTTAATAGATTTGAATTTCAAATTTCTTTCTCGCGGCTCTTTCATTAGAGATGTCCATATGGACCTATGCAATGTTTTTGTTTACCTGTCCATTTTTTTTCTTGCATCATTCACACTCACAAACGAAAAAATACTGAGAAGACAAATTGCAGCAGCTCTTAATATTTCAGTGGCGACTTTTTGGTAAACGGGCGCTTGACACCAACAGGTGAAGTTTTTCATGCGGAATTGTCGCTCGGTTTTTCCTCTTTTCTTTGAATATCACTTTCAATTTCAAAGTTTATGTGGCGTTTTAATTGTCTCGTAAGTATCTTCTTTACTAAGTAACTGTCTTTCAATGAAAGCTCTCCTTCGTTTTAGAATGTTATCACCTTTGATTCGTTAGCTTTTACCCTCAATAACTCAGAATATTTACTTAGCGACAATCTGTAGTACTCACAACATTTTTATCTTAAGCTTCTTCGACTCAAATTAAGGATAGAGCTGATAATTAGGCATCCTCGCCGACAGATTTTGTTATATAGATTCATCGAACAATTCGCTGAGGATTTTTCCATCCCGCTGAATTAGAAATTCATCGCTCAATCGATCATTTTTAAGTCGCTTTTCGTCAATAAATATTGTAAAATGGATTTGTGTTTCGACCATGAGATTAAAAAACATTTATAGAGAACAAAGAACATACGAGTATCTTTTCTAGAATGAAAAGCTCTGTTAGCTGCTCTAAATAGCTTTCATGGAAATTTCGTGTTAGATAAATAGAAGCGAAAATATTTTGCTTCCTGTTTTGCATCTTAAAAACACGACATTAGCCTTGAGAATTATGCGTGTTCCGTGCTAAGGTGAGAAGGCACATAAGCCCTGTTGAGAGTGAGAATTGTTGCAAATCCAAGACAACTTACTTTTGTTTTCTTCAGCGGGTCGAGGTCGACAGAATCTTTATGTGCGTCACTGGGGCTTTCGTTGAGTGAAGTCTTTGGATAGGATAACACTCTTCTGGAACAATTTTTATTGCCTGCTGGGAATAGACATTGACTCAAACTATTCATTAAATACCCTATTAATGATCGAGTTAAGAAGTTTCATTGGTCAAAGCTGATCCTCCTCACACCTGTCGTATTCGCCTAGAAGGTAAACAACGTCAACTGAAGGCCGGATAAACTGTGAGAGACGCTAAAGAATATCTCTCCGCTAAAACTAAACTAATAAGGAAAAAAATTTTTTTTCAAAGTGAATTGAGTGCATAAAAGCGGAAAATGGCCGAAAAGGGGTAATTCACCCCCTGATACACCAGGTCACTGACATGTTGGAGGGGCTGGGTCATATCGATCGACTAAGACCGCTGACTACAACGAATATTTCAAAGTATTATGAAAAAAACGATGTTTTGACGATCATCGTCATTACTAGTGTCTTAGCAAATGTACATCTTTCACTGCACTTGACGCCCATGATTACACCTGAATGATGACTGGCTTGTAAATTTTCTCGAAAATTATTTGAACGGGAGCCTTTCCCTTTTCAAAAGGAGACTGATCCTTATCCTGAAGGTCCTACTTCAGCACAATACAATAATTTTGTTTTGGTTATTTTGTGTTGTTATTTATTATTCATAGGTATTTGCACAATTTGACATGCTCAGAGTTAATTGTTAAATTCAGTGTTATAAATAGTTGATGCAATGGACCATTTTTCGTAATCAAAATTCGTTGCCATTACTTTCGGTCATTGCTTTTTATTCGGAAAAAAGGAATGTGATTTTGACATGAGAAAAAAGTCCAAGAAACCACCGTAAGAAGTGACTGACGTTTCGACTTCCTCAGCGGAAGTCGTAATCAGAATCACCGAGGGAATATTTTGTAATTCGAGTTTTGTTGGTATGGTCCGTGAAAACTGATAGGTCAGTTTTCCGCGAGGTGCCATTGGCCATAAGACTCACGTGGCGTAAGTCGGTCGTGATTGGCCAGTTGTGACCAACATAGCTTCCCATCCAAGCTACATCATTAACATTGGGTTCACATAGTTGAAAATGATTTGTGATAAGACATAATAGGTTAATATGAAAAGATTACCCTCACAATTTTTCCAAGGACGAGCATTTAATGATAATAATATCTAATAAACGAAAATCCCTTTTTAAGTTGTTTCAGCTGACTTTTATAAACCATTTCATTGACGTTTATCCTAGTTATGACTAAGGATAACTATGTGTTACTGAAATGGCGCTCGCTTATACGTTGTCTACTGTAATATTCTCAGCGGTCTCACTCGACTGTCCACAAGGAGAACTGATCCGATTTGCCTCGTACGTCCGTGAAATAGCGTTTTGACAGTGGCTTCATATTTGTCCAATCATCTGTTTTCATTTACTCTCTCCCAGTCTCTCTCGACAGTTTTTACCCTTACCCTTCCTCCCATCCCAACCTTTTCTCTATACAGTGCTGTTGAGAGTTCCCACCCCAGGCCTCCCCTTTCTCATTGTATGAAAGTAAGCGAGACCAGTTTGAATAGATCACTAATTCTTGTCTCCTAAAAAGCCGAGAGCTGAATACATATTGAGAATTAGCTTTCATCAAATAAAAAGTTGGCTACAATTTTGTAACTGAATTTAAATTGAAGTCACAGAAAAGCCTTGTACGTTCTTCAAACGAAAGACTTCTTTCACAGAAAAGCAAGTTCGCTGTCCTACTACGGCGCACTGCACTACTTCCGATTAGGGGGAGGTCACTTCAAAGCAATTATCCAGACCAGAAGAAATAATAAAAGGCTTTCAATGTCATAAAAAAGATCGCTATATTCACAAATAAAAAATGAAGCTCTACCCTAAAACGCGAAGTGTTTCGCTATCAGTCAGTGTCTTTCACTGTTTACTAAGTTTCCGTTGAATCTGCCGAGACCTCACAGAGCGCTCACCGCACCCAAGAGCAGTGTGCAACATTTTCAACACCTCCCGTTGGTACCTGACGTCGTATTCTTCCTGTTCTCCTAACCAATTAGCAAAGACAAATGTTTGAGCCTTCTTACTTCCGGTCACTTCCATGGCGTTCTTTTTAGCTTGATTGCGTTCTTCAGAGTCCAATTTGTCATCGTGGGTTAAAACCGTAATTATGGTAACACCTTCAAAAATACATTAAAAAAAGAGAACTCAAAGACGAACAGGGGTAATGCTTGGAAATGGAGTCTCTAGAATGTCTCAGAATTTCTTTGGCCAAGGATAAAATGCCATGAAACCGTGGGTGGGGGAATGGTGTAAATCAAACAACTCGGATTTTTTTCGGCAAGGATTCCAGTTGTTCACTAGAGAAATTAGTTACTCGGACTATTTCCCTGGAAATGTTTATTTCGGAATAACAAAACTCGAATTTTTGAAATAATAATAATACTAGTTGGGAATGAGATCAAAATTTCAATTTAAAAAAATAAATCTTTGGCCCCTTGGAGTTCCCGGTTGAGTTCCTTTGGGGTTTACAGTGATTATAATCAAAACTTTGGCACAAATACAAAGCAAAGATGTTTAGTTACCAACTCTCACCTTCCGCGTTTAATTTTTGCCTCACAAAATTGAACTTGTCTAGATACTGGCCATTCACGAAACGAATGTCGTTAGCCTTGATTACCCACAATGCCACATGAACTTGGTCTGCAACCGGAGGCTTTTCGAGCCTGTGAGCAGCTTGACCAGCGTCTTCGGCCATTTTTTCAGCCCAGTCTCCTCGCTCTATAAGCTGTCCTGCAGAAACGATGCCGTATAATATTCTGAAGAGTTCATCTAAAGGCAAAGGAAATATTTTCAGTGATTTTTTTAAAACATAACTGGAAGCTACGCAAATCATACAACGGAATATATCGTACAGTTTTTCTCATTATGTACCATTTTATTATCTCCACCAGTATTAGCACCAGATTCCCTAACTACAATCAGTGAAAAATATACTGGAGAGAGCATTACAACGACGGCCAAGGGGGCGTTGAAAAGATTAAGAGTTCGGAGTCTTTTTTTTACTGATTGGAGTCAAAGGAGTTTGTCAGCTCTTCGCTATTTTTCTCACTCTGAGAATCTCCTGGAGTAGCTGCTTTAGTCATATACAATACTTCTCTGTTTGTAATTTCTTAAAGGGTTAAATACAAAATTGGCAATTGAAGGTACTTTAAAGCGCATGCCTATTGTAACATTAATTCTCGACCATGTCACGCAAGCCTTGTCAAATCTTGCGTTACACACTACTTCCGCCTTTGGCGTAGAAACCGAAAGCTGAAATTGAATAATGACTTTGAATGAATATATTTTGCTTCCCATAAGTAAAATGAAATTCAACTACCCTGAAAAAATTTAAACCATCAGGGCCGTTACTTTCGGATCGCTGTTTTTTTTAACGTGATAATTTGGTTTTGTCAACAGAGTTGATAATGTAAATTGGCCATCGTAAAAGGGTTCAAGGCCGACGACTTTCAGGGCTAGCCCCTCGTCAAGCCGACCATTGTTGTCGGCTTGACGAATTCTCTTAGTATTAGAAAATAAATGTCGCTAGGCTTGAAGATATCTTTCAGTTTGTTAACTGATCAAATGTCGCAGGTAAAAAGAACAGTTAAACTAAATACCTACTTTCTTCAGCTCTGTTGAAATCGAAGTTAAAACCTCTTGTGTCATGGAATACAAAGCCGCCACGGTCATCTTCTGTCCCCGATTGCGAATGAAAATCCTCCAGTAATTGTGTTCCTTCGGCTCCAGATGATTGTTCTATTGCAGGGGCATTTTCTCGGCCGTATAAAGTCTTCCAAATCGTGTTAACAAGCGACGATTTCCCAGCACCAGTCATGCCAAACACGGCCAGCCGTATCTGCAATCCTTCCATTTCTCCTTCGAGAGCGTCTGAGAAAGAATGCAAGCCCTCGATATTTCCAACTTTATAGTTCTTGAGTTTTTCTCTGAGAGTACGGATTTCACTCTCTAAATTATTGCTGGCCATTTCTGTTGTCTAGCTTTATACCTCGCTTCTGAAGTGAATACCGAACATCACACGCATCACTGCAGGCAGGGAATTCCTAGAACTATGGCGATCACGTGATACAAACAAATGATAAACCTCAAAGCCGGTAGCCGGTTAGAATAGTCAGTTCCCAGAAAATTACCGGATATAAAAGCTTGTCTCCAGGGTCTCGCAGAACCTTAAACTTTGCTATGTGGAACAGTAGGATTAAAATCATTACAGAATTTTTCCGTAACGCTACTAAGGCATTGCGTGACATCGTAGAGTACAGCTGCATACGACATCAGAATTTTCAAGCCATCTAAGCTCTCGTTAGGTGGAAACAAACTTGAGCATCACTTCGTGAGAAGGAAAAAAAAGCGGCAGTATTTTCCGCTCGTTTCACCGACCACGGGCCTGAAACTGAGACGGAACACGTTAGGTATTCTAGCATGGGAAATCACAAGCAAACCAGGAAGAACAGGTCGTGTGATTTATGAGGTAGTTTTTCTGCGTTAGTAGACTATCTTGTCCTAAACATTACAGAATTTTGAAAAAGACGCGGCTTAACGCCAGAAAAGATGAAACAATGCTAGTTTCCGTCGATCAGTGTTTCGTATCTCAATGCAAAATGATCCTCAAGTTTGAAAGTGACCAAACAATCTCCTCCCACGCCCTCTATCAAAAAGGTAAAAGCCTTAGGACGAGTCAGATGAACAGTCTTAGTCATGTAGAAGCTATGTGGTAGCGCACCTTAATAACTGTATATTCCAACTGCTGGATAACGTTGAGGTTTTTCTGCAACATTTTTATTGATACATGGTGCAATAATTATGTATAAAGTAATTTACTGGCGCGGTATTCTCCCACGAACGTGTATGAACTTACTACTATAGCGAGAAAACACAGGTGTACGCAGTTCATCAAGAAATACAGGTTCTCTATCATCTTCTTTTTAGCCTGTCCGAGAAGACATGAATCTTCTGATCAAAATCCTTGAGCTATTTCCGCACAATATACCTTTTACATTTTAAGTGTCAACGTTAACATTTTGTTCCATTATTTAACTTGCATAAAAAAATCCCATCGGCATTTTACCCTTTTACTCTAAGAAATCTCTAACATGTAACTTCCCCGTCCAATTTCAATACATTGTTCCGCGAAAAGGTAAGGAGAAGAGACACTTCATCGGTTGCAAGGCGTTCCTTGATTAAACACAAAATTCTCTTCACTAATAAACAAGTTACTGTTCGTGACTAGTGAAGGAAGGATTACTAATTGGAATTGCCGGAGTTTAAAGCTTACAAAGGTGTCAAGCAGATAACATATCTTAGAATATACGTGCATTTATTAAATGTTTAAGACTGTGGCGTTGATCATCTACGAGGTGCCCTGAAATAATCTTCCTTCTTTTTAAACTGGCTGCAGGTGAACTCACAGCGATCGTTTAGTTGTTGCTGTGTTCAAAGAACATGAAGTCCTAAAAGTTAAGAGATAAATCAAGTCATTAGAATCAAATTGATGCAATGTTGCAGGACGTGTTTTTTTCAGTGATAGATCCCGGATGACGACAAAACGTGGTGAGAACCAAAAAAAGGTACATAAGGCGCCGCCGAGTGTGTTACTGATATTCTTACCACATGGAGGTAATTAACCCTTTAACTCCCAGATCAAATTTGTCATTCTCCTCACTGTCAACCATACAATTCTTATAATGTTAGTTCAGAGAATTTAGTATTGGATCAACTAATTATCCCAAATTGATATTTTTCTTTTATTCTCATCACTTATCTGGTTGATATTGTATTGATATTGTAAGGAGAAATTCTGTCTTGGTCACTCATGGGAGTTTAAAGGTTAAATAGTATACAGAATGACACACGCATTTTTATTTGATCTTACAAATGATCCAAGGGAGGAAAAAAGCATAACTGACATCACCATTAACAAAATTCTGCTTCTTTATAACTACAATATAAAACAAAAAGATTCCCTTTTTCCGTGCGTCTGTTTAGTAGCAGATCAAGGAAGACGCCAAAACGTAGCTCAGGTCTTCGACCATCTTCAAAAATTTGAGTAGGTGAGAAAAATTTCAGTCTTTCAACGGACGTAATATTTTTAAATGTTTCTTAAACTCACAAGAATCTCCCTAAACAAAATCGCTGACGTGGCATAGAACTTTTGCAGATGTAAGAAATGTAACGTGCGCTCTGTCTGTACTTACAATGAGAAAGGTAGCTCCCATTAGTATGGCTTTGTACTTGACATCCAGATCCAAAGGGACTGACGAAAAACAAAGAGTGAAATAAAAAACTGAATTAAAAACCTGAGGCACAGCAAATAGGAAAGAAAAGGTTTAGCCGCATAAACCTCTTCATTTCACACTTGGGTATAATTTTTTCTGAATTTCATTTTGTTCGCGCTTCATTTTGTTTTTTAGATAACCCATAAATATTTCCAATATTTTTGTTTCAAACCGTGTAACACGAGGCGACGAAGTTACCAGCTTGGGTGCGACGTGACGGGGCGACAGTGAGATGGGGCGACGTAGGCTACCTAAGCAAAACCAAGATCTAAGAAACTAAGTTTACCCGCATTCTAATATGAACCTTGCAAAATTTTTGCCTAGGGGAGATTCCGTGAAGTGTAATCTCAGAAACGAGCCATTTCACCGTGATCTGACGAGGAAGCCCTGGGTGTATAAAGGAAATATTTTGAATACAATATTTTTGTACTTCATTGCATGGACTTTTCAAAGGAAAATATCTCAGTTCTGTCCTTACATCGCACTCCAAAGTTCTCAGCATCAGTAAACATCTCTCTTGCGAGTCCAGTCCACTGCTTGCTGATCATTCCAATTTCACTGCTTCCATCCAAAGAATTGAGCTGTGGGAACAAGATATCTCTTCAAAAGAACACATAACTAAACACAATTCAGAAACCATTACAAACATGAAGCATGGACATAGTCACTCTCTCACCCCTCCCTTTCTCATTATCTAATCACACTAGGCTGCAGAATAAGCAGTACTCGACTCACAGGGAATTCAACATCCGATCCACAACTGCAAGGGCAGCACGGCCCATTGACTACCATGATAGGCTGCCGCTGTGCATCTTGAATTTCCAATTTGGCTTTCCACCATGTCCACCTATGGTCACAAAATCAAATCATGAATTGTAAGTAAAGGGTAAGGGGTAAAGTGGTCAGAGTAAGGCAGATTACTACATGGCCTGGTCATTTGGATGTGGCTAAACTGCATCAGGCCATGTTGTTTGGGTATGGCTGAACAGCATCAGGCCATGTTGTTTGGGTATGGCTGAACTGCATCAGGTGTTGTTGTTTGGGTATGGCTGAACTGAAAAATGGCAAAGTAGTTTGAGAGTGGCAGAAAAAGAATGTCTGAGTAGTTTGGGTGAAGCTAAGTTGCAGCATGGCTGAGTGTTTGGGTGTAGCAAGGGGATAAGGGGACTGGGCTTATAATCTGGTGGTTCCTGTTCACACCCTCCACCATGCTGCCCATTTGAATGTCTGCCTCTTACCATTTGAGCATTTTTTTTCCCACTTAATATTTATTTGTAATATTCATTGCACTATTTGCACACTGGACTCTGATCAAAGGGTCTAAGCTCTTGCCTTGAGCTCATAGGTGACACACATTCCAGAAACAGCTTGGATCTGTATTTTCGAAAGCCTTTGGTTGGTAAGAAGAATAGGAAAGATTGTAACTTTTATGCTAAGTAATGAAAATGAAGATGTTTTACCATATTCACTTACTTCTGTTCCACATAACCAATAACTGTCCCTGGTGGGGACTGTATTTCAATCTCCTGAAGACAACAAGGACAACAACAGCACTGGCACCTGAGGGGTCGGGAGAGGTGTATCACTTCTCTTTGCATATTGTCAAAAACTTTCATTTCAAATGGACGCCCAGGACCACAGCACTGTCGAGTACAGCAGTCAGTGTCTGAAAAAATACCGCTAGTGTTAAAAATGTATAAAGTTTATTTTATTTAAAATTATAGTAAATTGAAAGAAACAACACTAGCAAAATTACCTTCAGCAGCAAAATATACTTGTTGACCCATGGAATTACATATCTTGTATTTGTTGTTGGATTCAAATCCAGTGAAAGCTAAGAGAAAATAAGGAAAAAGAAAAACATGTATTATGGTATAACGCTTAAATTAAGACTGGTTTGGCCATCAAGGTATAGAAACCATCCTACCAGAGCTAAGCTGGAAGTCACTTGCACAAAGCTATCAACTTGATCCAAACAGAAAAATGTTTGCAACTAATGTTCAAGATCAGTCCACATTTTGAAGTTAATTTTTACAATCATTTGATGAATAAAATATGATTAAAGCCACCTTAATCCCTTATGATACTTAAGAAATATTTTGACTGAACCAAGAATCATATCACATGTAAAAGACTGAGTCTGATCAGGAGATCCCTTCTAAAACAGACAATGCCATTACAGATGTGAGTAATAACATTTTTGCAAACTCATCCCATCACTCCTTGCTTGATCATCTAATACTTCAAATTCTGTATCTCAGCAATCTTTATCCAAGGATCACAATATTATGTCCTTTCCAGCTAACCAAACAGTAAGAGGAGTTTGTCAAATATTTTGAGGAAAAGCTTGTTGAAAGGACAACATTCATATTTACCCTAAATAAACAATCTTACTGATAAAATATTCAAAGTTGCCCTCTTTGTTTCAGCTTTTTTATGGAGCCTGCTGATTTCAATTCATGATGGCACATTGAATAATAAGTTGCGACTGAAATGAACATTTCTCACTCTCTTCAAATTACCTTCTAGAAGCTCAACCTGTTGTTGAATGAGCAATTGATCAACTGCAGTCAGGTATTCCAATCCTGGGGGGCAGCCTATTGGTGCCTGAGGAACAGGCATCCAATTTGCCTGTCCAGGAACTCCTGCAAAGATTGTCACCGTTAAGATTTAACAGGCTAGCATTTCAAGCATTAATCCTTCATCAAAGCCATAGATGAAGGGCTAATGCTTGAAATGTCAGCCTTTAAACTCTTTATGGTGGCCAATTTACATTTTCAACTCAGTTGTTGACACAGAATTACCTGTCCAACAACCAACAGTTTGAAAGAATAGGAAGTTTGAGTTACATAAAGACTGAATTCAGTGAGTCTGAGTCAGAAAGGCTCCACTGTAGTTTTGCTGGTATAAAAGGTACCATAAACATCATTTCAGAGCTCTTTATGTAGCCATGTTACAAAACAGATACAAGGTCACTTTTCTTCTTACTCTATGTTAGAAAACAATTTTTTTCAAGCTATGTTTTCACAACTGCTTGAGTAGTGTTCATTACTGCAAAAATCACTTTCATATTCATTTCTTACACTGCAGTTCACATATAGGATTTTCATATATTCACAGTCATAACAACAACAATGGAAAGCTGCTTAATTTCCCAGTTCTATGCCTGTTTTTCTGCACATATCTTATACACTTCATCTTCATCTTAAACATATGCTATTCCCACAAGCAAGACTTATGGATGAAGCAGTTTGGGTTGTTAGTCATGCTAACCCTCCAAAGAAATAACTTTCAATTATTCAAAAATGTTCAATAACCCTGAGGGGTGTAATTGTTTTTTTAATAATTACTCAAATGAATATCATTCCAACTACATAATTCTCTATGCTTTCTCAGAAATATCACACAGTCTCAAGCTTGTTTTGCAAAGTGTATCACTTAATCGTGGAGGGGGTTAACACGGGAATATCATGCAATCCCAGATTGCCATCAAATTGCAGGTCTTAAAATAGATCCCCTTTCAAAGTTGAAAAAGCGTGTCGTCCCGCCTAAATAACCATCTCATCATCAGTTGTGAAGTAAACTAACAATTTTCTAGAGTTGATTGCCGTCTTGCGTACAGTTTTTGTCGTCTTAGTTCTAAGGAAATTTGTTGGAAAATGTTGAGCCTGTGCACGTACTACCTGCAAAGAACCGTTCTATAAACAATCGGATGTGAAGTCGTTAGAAACCTTGCGCTAACAAAAAATGAAATGGCATTTGTGAATATCATAATGCATTAACACTCAAAAACGTCAGCAGTTTTATAACCAATCGATAGAAGGACCTAAAGGAGTAGGGCACAACTTGTATGTCAACTTCATTTTGATTTCACGGACAGTTAAACAATAAACGGGGCAAAACCAAATTGATCGCATGCAAATCACACGATCACCGAAAAAACCACGCACATTTGCTTCACATGAAGAAAGTTGTGTTTCAGCTAACGCTCGTTAGTTTGCTCGTGTTTGTTGTCATGTTTTGTTTTGTTAATAACACTACTTAAAAACTTTAAGACCATTAGGAAGCAAAACATCAAGTACCTACTCTTTCTCCGAGAGCGAAAGTCAGTGAATATTTTAAATAAGTTTCTCTCAGTTACAAGACATGAAACATTACATACAGTCGCAATCACGATCGTTTTGTTTGGAGATCTAAGAAAAGCTTTAAAATACCTGGTTGTTGCTGCACAGGTTGCGTTTGATATCCTTGTTGCAGCGACATGTTTAGAAGTGACTTTCACACCCTATAAATAGTACTAGCACATGACCTCACCACAGATTGTTTGCGTAGCCGTGGGAAGTCTGGGTAGGAACAGGCCACAAAGTAAACATAGGCTGCTCGACAGAGCGTGTTTGCGCAAACAGTAACTACTCCATCAAAGGTTCAAAAATACTTGCGAGGGCTCTGAACTAATGGATCATTTTTCTTAATTAACTAGAAGGAAAGTTCTGTTGTCAGGAATTCTGAGCCACGAGCCAAAGGGGTAAGAGATAGCTTATGCAATGTTCACAATGCCTCCTCTACAAAAAAGTGCACAACCATGCATTTTTTCCTCAATTATATCCTCCATGATCGTAAAAAGAGGATCCTAAACTTGAAATGAAAACCTCTACTGCGCAGAATCCCAAAAGAAACAGGTAGCGAGTAATTTGAAGACCGCGGAACGTAATTTTCAAGCGGAAAACTGAGTTATATAGCTTCAACGCCCCTCTTTGATTAAATGAAATTGCATTTTTGTGACTTAAAACAAATAATTTCAATTTCCACTCTATCATCATCATACCGATCGCATAAGGAGTATGTGGGAGAAGAAAATAAAAACCACAAAAGAAACCAAAAAGAATTCTTGATAACCAAAATATTGTTATGTGCTTGAAGCTTTTTGCTGAAAAAGTCATGTCTAAAAATCTGTCACGTCTAGATCGCACGGACCGTTTCTATACGTATTTTTGCCCTGCTCTACAGTGTAATACCGTGACTTATTTTACGTGATCCATTGCCCTAGTATGGTAAAATGAAATTATAAATTCATTTATTTTCGTTTATTCATTTAGTCTAACCTAATCTTGCTGTAAAATACTTAATGGATACCAAGCGATTCAACTGACTGGATATGAATCGCTTGAAACATCAGCTTAAAGCTATTTACGGTGGCTGATTAACATTATTAACTCAGTTGATAAAACCAAATCACCTTGTTATACTCCCCCACCGTACCTGCATACGAATCGTAACCAGCTGGGTTAGATACGACTGGGCAAGAAACGACTGTGGGTACGAAATAACGACCCTATTTAGTCGTATGTTCAAATAATAAAATGTCAGTACTTTTCTTTACCGGACTCTTTTTCAATGCTACCCAGATATAAGAAAAATAGGGAACGCATCGTGATCAGCTGCAGTAAGTTCTAATTTAATGCTTTTTTTCTTAAATATTCCATATAGTCAATCTCATTGGTTATCATTTTTTCACAAAGAAGCCTCAATTGAGGAGTGATATTCTCCTTCAAAGCGTACCCCTGGATAAACTTCGACTGCTTGGCGTACGCCTTTCCAAAATGTTCCCCAGGGAGTAAACACTCTTCCTCCAACATCTTGTTGTAATTTCTCAAGCGATGAACGTCAATCCAAAACATATTCCCGAGCTTTTCAATTTTGTTCCAAAACGTTCTGTTAAAATAATTATAAAGTAATACATCAGCTCTGTTCCACCGCCGAATCTTCTGCACAAGTTCTTCGGAAAGGTTTGTATTAGCGTCGGAGGATTTCCGTTGGTTGAGCCTAAAATACACAACATCTCGAATATCCCAACAGAGCTCTCGGGCGAGTAAAATGAGTGACTCGTCAAAATACTCCATCAGGAGGACGAGGTGAAAACTTCCATCGATTTCATTTAACGCCTCTTTTATCTTTTCATCGGTAAAATATTGCTCTTTTTCCAATCCCAAGTCAAAAAATTGTCCATTTTTCAGCAAGTTTAGATATGGAAAGACAGATCCAGATTCTGAAAGATCTGAGAGTTTTGCCAAGGTATTGATAGGATCGACAAAAAAAGTCGCTAAGGAATTTTTTGAATCTTTGATTCTAAGCAACTGAGCAAATTCCATGTAAGAAAACGTTGATTCCAACTGCGAGACAGGATTTCGAAGGATGGTAATAAGAACTGCATTCGGTCTCATCAGCTCAGTCATCGATTTCCTGTTCCATCTCGCGTGATTGGAGAAAATATTCGGTCTTTTACCTTTAAGATCCGCTATAAAAGTACTTTCGAACGACAGAGGCCAGAAGAAATTAAAGAAACCATCTTGGGGAAGAGCGAAAGTCAAGTTGTGAAAGTCTCCATATCTGTTGAGTATGTTTGTGATTGTACTGCTGCCTGTCTTGTGGGTTTTCAAGAAAAGCACGTGTTCTTTTGGTTGACAGGTGTTTGGCGTGGTACTGTTGATAGAAAGAAAAAACAACAAGAAATTAGTATCCTTAATTACGGAAAGAATGTAAAAGATAAACTATCATGGTCTCTCTTTCCTTTCAGACGTAAGGTTTTTTTGCTGTATTAAGTAAGCTTAATAAATAATCAATTGAAACCAATTACATTTTTTTTTTATTTTTTAATTGACTTATTCTGAATTGTCGAGGTATTACTCCTCGAGTTCATTTTGCGTTTGTGCGGCATTTCTAAGTTAAAAACCCCAGCAAAACATTTTCTATCAATCAGTTGTTTTAGGATTAAAAAATTCGACACTTGTTTGAGTTTCTATATATACATCCTTGAGATTAAAGCTATTGAAACTCTCGTTCGCTTCTCTGCTGTCCGCAAAGAAACGCTCGTGCAGCGAGCTGCGAGAATCCTACCTCATTATGTGCACCAAAACCGCCCTTTCCCCTCCCCCTTCCTTTGTACCCCAGTCACGCCGGTTATTGTTGCATCACTTCAAACCAACAAACCTGAATTTTTCTGTTTTTCCCATTCCTGTTATGTACTCTATGTACTCTTTGTCATCGTCATTTGTCACGCTCATCATCTTTCCCAAGTTGGACACGTAAACGATGAAGATGATAAGAACGACAGTTGCCACAAAAAGCTTCCTTGAAAAGATCGGAGAAGATGGAGGCGCTTGATGCCATTTCACAATTATCGCCATTCAAATTGTCCTCCAGTTATGAATAAACTTAGTATTCTCCCTTGAGGACCAAAAGATTCTTAGATCATAGATCGTTGGTGCATTTGTTAAGAAGCAGTACTTTTATCTGCCACGTCTATCTGAGAGCAGCGACTAAACAAAAAGATCCATTGAAGCTAGTCACAACGCATTCGTTTTCACGACTGGTCGCCACCTGTTTTAGTTTTTCTTGAATTACCCGCCAAATAATATAATTAATAACCTCTCTACCTGTTTGATTGACACCTCCATGTTAGCTAACGTGAAATCCCAGTCAAGTTTTTATTGTCTGACTTGTTGGGCAAAAATTGGGCACCTTTGATCACGTATCATTTCTGACGTGGTTAAGAATTCTGACTCTTAGGACTATTGAAAAGGGAGTGGGGAGGGAAGTGTTCCAGAATGGCACTTTTTCTCCTCCCACGCGAAATGCCTCTTAGAGTGTAGGTACATCTTAACTGATCAACCTAGAAGTTTACAAAGAAAAAAAGTGAACAAGGCATGCCGCGTACCTCTCCATAGAAGCCCTGATGACGCATAGGAGGAAACAGAAGGAGAAAAAAAAAAAAAAACAAATACAAATAAAACTAAAAATGCGCCATACATCCGCGAAGATCACAAACGAGTGATTTCTTTTGAACAAAATTATACAGAATTTATTCTATAAAACAAGTTTGAACAATAATAATTATGAAAATTATCTGGCTAAAGATTAACAACAAAAGAACCACAGGTGAAGTATTTCAAAACATAAAAACATGTCAGTCACTGAACATAATCTAGGAATATTGGTGGCAACAGATGAACTGGTTGATATCTTACTTTGAGTTTTTTTCTTTGCTATTTTGCATATAACTTGTATGTACCTTTTAAAATAAGATGAAAATAAACAAACAGAAGTTTGCAAAGGCCAGACATGCAGTGTGACTTTCATCTAAAAACTACCCATCAGCATAAATGCATCACCTTTCCTCAATTCTACTAGGCAAACAAATCAAGCAAAGGTTTCCTTGTGTCTTTTCTCATTTCTAAACATGTTGAGAATAGAATTACTTATGTCACACTATTCAAATCAATTATCAGGGTACAAAATTTTTTTTGGAGGGTTGACATCAGTAATCTTTTGATCAAACTAGAAGAAATACTATGCCCCAAAGTTCAAATAATACAATCACATGCAGTAATGCCAGTTTGGACCTTGATGTTATTATATTTTCTTTTTCTTTACAACCGTAAATACTGAATTAAGGTAATAAGTTACTGTTATCTGAAAGGTTTCAACGAAGACAGTTTTAAACAGTTATACTAATGCTTACATGACCTTAACCCTTTGACTGCCAAGAGTGACCCAGATGGAATTTCTCCCTATAAGATCGAAACAATATCAAGGAGTCAAGTGACGAGATTAAAAACAGATATCAGCTATGGAATACTTGGTTGATCAAATACCAAATTCCCAGAACTTTCATCATAAAAATTGTATGGCAGACAGTAAGGAGAATAACTAATAAGATCTTTGGAGTAAAAGAGTTTAAGGCTCCTAACTTCATCTCTTCAGATTTTATTTTTTTAGATTTCTATGGTCTTGTTTAGTGGCAACAGTCACCTATTCCACCCCTGTTGGTAACTTGAGAAAAACTGAATTGAAACCTCTGATTCACAGTCAAATAGCATTGAATACTGATTACTGATTATGCCAAGTGCATAAAACAGTTTAAATGAGTTATCAGGCTTGTCAATTAAGCATTAAATAAACAAGCTTGGTTGAGAAAAAACAGTTCTGCAAATTGAAACTCCCTTTGGATTAAACTTATCACTTGCTTTTTCAGAGTTGTAAAACTTTTATAAATTTCTTACTGAAAAAGTGGTAATTGAACTAAGTGAAAGCTTTGTTTTGTGTTTATGTATCTGTACTGATACATGTGTATTAACTTTTTTATGTTCTTGTGATAAAAAATGATTATTGTTTTTCCTAAATAAGAATGCCATTGCCTCTGCTATTTGAATTCATGGCTTTCCATGATTAAAAACAAACTTTGCTTCATTTTCCATTCTATGCAATTTCCTGCAAGGACTACTTGTTGACTAGCAGAATTCAAACCAAGGCTTTTTTAATTAAAACAAAAATAAACACAGTGAAGCCTTGCAACTACAATTTTGCAACAAAGCATGCAATATTAGCCCATTATTAGAAGTCAACAATAAATTATTGAAGCTGCAAAGTCTGTCTAGTTTGTCTCAAACTTTAGAAGGAGGAAGAATAGTTGCAACAGAAGACACTCTAAAGTCTTGGCTTTTGGTACATAATCAGCAGACACAGCCTCCACTCTGCGGTTGGGGTTCTGGTGGTGTGTCCTTTAGTCTAACTTCTATAAGGTCATCTTTGTTCTGTTTATCTGATGTACTTTCCATGCCTGGTAATGCTGCAGCAACTCTCCTGAATAGCTGTTGGAAAAACAATACACCTGTTATGACCACATGCTTTGTATCTGAAAACATCATAAATTCTTTTCATGAGAAAAGAAAGAGAGGGAAAGGCTAACTTAAAGAGGTTTTTTTGGAGACAGATATAACTATTTTCAGACTGATTTCAGAATCAAGAACTGGACTCTCACAGCTCCATTTTTAGTATTTCCATGTTGTTTAGGTTATATGATAATCGTTGTTATAATTACCTCTTCAAATGAAGCATTTGAAACATACCTGTTTCACATTATACCCAGCCTTTGCACTTGTTTCTATGAACATCACATTTAATTCCTTTGCTTTTCTTTCTCCATCTTCTGTCGTAACTTGTCTGTATATGTATAAAAAAGCAAACAATAAACAAACACAGAGAATCACTGAAGTTGCAAGTGAAGTTGACATAATTTTATCACCTACAAGACCTGAAAATGGTTGTTGATGATCATTGCCTCACAGTGCTGAATGTACTTGGAAGAAAGTGGTTTTAATCCTCTTTAACAAAACTGTATGTATATGGGGGTAGCTTTCCTCCCTTGACATTTTAAAGTGCAATTGTAGCTAAACAAAGGAATGCTCTGCTTGTGAAAGCAGGCTTAGGAAAACAGTGACATCCAATAAAACAACTACAGGGGAGGTGATCATGATCAAGGAAAAGTTACAAAGTCAAAATAAACATAAGAGTGAGGCTTAAAATATTATAAGGTCTCTTTATTTATAATATTCATTTGTTGATGTCAAAATAAATGTATCAGTAAAATCAAATTTATTTGTATGTTCATATTTTCATGCAGTTAACCAAGAGACACCTGGGTGTTACCTTTTGTCTGAGAGATCTGTCTTGTTTCCAACCAACATAATAATGACATCACTCCCTCTCTCTGTTCTAACATCATCAATCCATTTTGCTGTTTGTTGGAAAGAATTATAGTCTAAAAACAAAGTAATCAAATGTGTTAATGATACAGGAGACTTGCAAAGTAGCTCAAATGTAAAATTGCAGTACTGTTGTTTTTGTTGAATGTGTACAGTTAAAACAAAATGTTGCATTACTTGTAATGTCATAAACTACTACAGCCACACTTGAGTCTCTGATATAGCTGGGTATTAAGCTTCTAAATCTCTCCTGGCCTGCTGTGTCCCAAAGTTGTAGTCTCACCTGCGGTAAAAAATCAACAAATTGTCTTCTTATTCCACTTATTGACAATGTCAAACATCTGTCTGAATGCATTTATATGATTAACCTGTACATGTAAATCAAATACAGTCTGGATATACTTCTCAAACAAAGCTAAAAAAGCCTTGTTATTCTTGAAAATTAACTTTTCAGAAAAACTGATGAAAAATGTATGAAAAACAGGGCCTCTAAGGATCAGTAGCCAACCAGGATTCAGTAAAATAACCTTAATTCTTTCATTTCTACACCTGTATTTGAGATAACAGCAGAAATTGAGGTAAGGATTTACCTGATACTAAAGAGTGCATCAAAAATGGATGCTACGTAATTTAAACAGAAATTTTGCTTTTGTTTCTAACCAGTGCCACTCATAACAAAGATTTAGTTTACAGTGCATACCAGCTTGTCAATAATCTCATCGGTCAAGTAAATAGCAAGTATTCTAACTTTATCTTATATACATGTTATTGTAACAGTTTCCATGGTTACTTCCAGCACTCAGATTCTCATACTATGCTGTTTTGTTAGCCTTTCATGCACATTCAGTCCACAATCATTTTAATTTGAAACACAGTGCAGAGTATACCAAGTCTAGCAGTTAAGTATTTAACTCGCATCTAAACAACATACAAATAATTTTAAATACTTACCGTTCTGTCTTCAAGATACATGGTTTTTGACAGAAAGTCGATCCCAATTGTTGCCTGTAGAAAAGGGAAATTAACCCTTTAAACCCTAAGAGTGACTAGCATCTAATTTCTCCTTACAATTTCTCCCCAGAATAACATATTAACGTCACAAGAATTGAGGGAATGATCACCAACTGTGACTTGTTAAACAAATTCTCCTTTTCAGCACCTTAAGAAATTTATGGAGAACAGTATGGAGAATATGAATACTGATGTTAGGGTGTAAAAGCTTAATTGATATGGAGTAATCATATCATCACCACATAAAATGCAAGGTTTCAGGTTTCCTTTTTAAGAATACATTGACATTCATCCAAATTTCCATAGGTAAATGTTTTCTTTATTGCTTTGATGTTTATCTGAATTTCCCTAAGACAGGAATATAATTTCTTTACACTAAGGCAAGATCGACAGTAAAGGATTTCCTGTAATGGTTTCAAAACCAATGTACATATAAATGATGTGCAGTAGCATTTCCTGAATTCAAACTCTCCTTCACTGTTCTACTTTCTAGTAAAATAAACCGTATTGAAAACTAATCTTTAGCTTTTTTCTGTCTGCTTTATTCTCAGTGGTTAGTAATCAATAAAACTCCCTTGACGGTATTTCGCTTTACCGACATTAAGTCAGGAAGGAAAATGAGTCACCCTCAGTTTACAAATTTTACAAGATTAAATCTGTTGATTCCTTTAAGGGATCCGCTATGTTATTTCCCACCACAACTGCGCTGAACAATAAAGCGAAAATATATTGACACTCAGGGAAGGATTGCTAAGTATGCAAAAAGCAGTATTATCATCAGCTCGTATATGGGTAAATACTAAACCTTCAAGCATGTTTCGCGGGTAAAATACATGAAAACTCGACGGGAAAAACGAATCTTACTTGGAAAAAGTTGTTAAACAGCTGAAAACTAGTAATCTCTATAACCTACCTGGTAAGTATTGTCAAAGCTATCGTACATGAATCTTGTTATAAGAGACGTCTTTCCCACTAAAAGTAGACAACACAACCATTTACTAAAACCCAGAATGACCGGGTCCAACCCACCATTTATTACAGTGATCAACTGACTTTTCGAACATCACCAAGCTGTCACAGAAAACTCACCGCTCTGTTCGCCTAAAAACACCAACTTGAATTTTCTAAGAGGATTCCCAAAGTCGGAAGACATGTCTGCGTGAGGTATAGAATCAACAGTGCTCTACAGAACCGCGAAGTGATATTTTTGTACCGAATATTACACTATATTTATCTCCAATCGAAGCCACGTAGAAATTTTGAATGCAATCTGCGCTTGCGTAGCCGGTACTTTCTCGAAACGACGTCACCAACTGAGGAACCGAGCCTTAGCTTTTTGGAAAAACAAAAAAATGGCGGCAGATTTGAAAAGATGTGGTGAAATGTGCTCAATTGATTTGATTGTTCTGTACGAAAACGATCGTTTATTTATCAAGTATAGTGATGACTCATCTATTGAACTGTCTTCTTGTGGATCGGCGTTTGTTCATCGTCAAACAGCCTTGAGTAGCTCTGCTCAGTTTCGTCAACTGACGAGATTTGCCGTGAGCTCGTTTCGATCGAAAATAAAAGAGGCTATCAGGATTCGTAACTTGTTTGCGGCTAGACCATACCTGTGTAAGGAACTAACAGATCCACAGGACCTTAAGGTATGTTGGTCCACGATCGCAGTGAATTCATTTAGCCATGTCCCATATTTTGGCAATTTTTGTGATTTCTCCGTTTCATTTATAGCTCTTGTACATCATCTTCGAGTATTCGAGATGATGGAGGTTTACTTAGTACTGTAGTAGTTTGCATGACTATATATTGCTCTTACGTGTTATTCATTTAACAAAATTGAAATTCTCTAGATCGGTTATAAAGATGTCACGCAGTGTTGTTGGCCTGACGAACCTTCCTCGTGTTTTATTACAACAATGTCAGATGGTTCAGCGTGTGTCATGTCTGTCGATGGTCTGGCAAGCTTAACTCTTATGCCTCACAGACAAACGTTTATTGTTAAGTTTCTTGCAGAAGTTAGATACGATTCAACCAAGGTAACGTGTACAGTATTCCTCGATAGTTCACGGACCCTTTCACTACTAGCAGTGATCAACAAGTTATTTCACGTTACAATATAAGTACATCCTCAAAGATTTCAAAGAGACAGGAGACGAGAATATAGAAAAAACTAACTAGGGAACAATATTTGAATTAAAAACTAACTAGGGAACAATATTTGAATTAAAATCAAATTCTCAAAGGTAGCAGTATATGAAATGTACAACGGACAGCAAAGAGATTTACGGTATGTACATTTGTAGAGATTATGGATAATAGGAGGGTATAGTGGCTAGTTCACACAAGGTTCTCTATAGCTGTAATGGGAGCCGGCACTAAAGTTCACCGCTTACTTTTCATTGCTAGGCAGAATAGACCATCTCTATACTGTTTAGTTCCTTCAATCTTCCTGTCTGCCTCCCTTCCCCAGGTTCAATGGGTACCAGTGAGCTGTCAATACAATGTGACAGTGTTACGCAAGAGGAAATTTGCCATTGATTGATGTTACTCTTTCTAGAGTCACTGTTTCCATGCTTCATTTTTCTTCTCTTACTTGATAGATGATGGGAAACAAAGTCTCAGAGATGCAATGTCAGAAGCATTATTTTGCTTTGCACAAAAAAATTCATTCAGTATTTTCCTATCCTGAGGCATGGAAATATCCTCTCCAACTTGTTCTTGATGCAGTCAACAACAAAGCCAAAGATCCTTCCTGCTCCCTGCACAAAGAAACAACTTTGCCAGTGTCTCTGCCTGTCACATGTAGTGCTTCTCATCTTCACACATGGAACACTCAGGTGTTACCTCATTGGTCATCTAAACTTAATTCATTTTGCTTCATTTAGTTAACAAACTGTAATACACGCAGACACAGTATCAGTTAGTACTGATGTTTTACCTCTCAACTGCATTCCCTTATTTTCCTGACACTTCTTCACTTTGCCAATGTCACAAGTATTAAAGTGGTGTTAGAAATTCCTTTTTCTTGATTATTATTCATCTACATTCCCCATGATGAATAAGTTTTTACTTTAAACTCTCACCAGATGCCACATGATGATAGCTGCCTGAACTGGGAGTTCCTCTGGAAGCCAAAAGTTATTTGGAAAGATGGAGTTACTTATAGGTGTGTTTCAGTTCTAAAGTTTTCCAGCTGCCAGCTCTTCTAATGATAAATACTACGTATTCTAACGTTTGTTAGCTTGCTAGTCTTTCATTGTTAAAATGTTCAAGTTACTCTTTAATGAAATTGGTTGTAATCGTGGTTGCAGAGTTTTTTGTCAGTCACCTGGCTTGTTCACCATGGAGATTCACCCAGTGGATGGCTCTGTTATGAGGTCACAACGACCCAATGGAAGATATTTTGATCACTGGTTTGTTCATAATAATGAACAAACTGGCTTACAGGAAGTTGAGATTCAAGAACGAGTTTACTCTGCTGATAAACCTCTTCCACACAGATTACTGCAAAGGACAGAATATTCCATTGGTCGTCTTTTGAAACAGGCCACGAGGTGCAGCTTTTTTAAAAGCACTCAAACATGACTTAAATGTAATTTTTCTGCATCATCGCAGTCTATTGTACTGTCTGTCTTATTTGTTCTGTTTAGTGAACTATAGTATTGTTTGTACAGTGCAAAAACTAGCCATGTTATGTTTTGTCAGATATATGGAATTCCTCAAGAATGCAGGGTATCAAGGAGAAGAATGCTGCTGCTGGAAAGAGGTGTGGTTTACTTCATTAATTAGGATTAATATTTTATAGTGAATCTTGAATTAATTAATCAATTACTTTTATTTTGATATTAAAATACTTCAGTAATAACATTTATATACTTGTATGTATTACATATCACTTAAATTTGAACATCTTTAATCTTGATGTGGGTTTCTATTCATTATTTGGCACAACCCCTTTCATCTTGTAACTTACTACGAGAGTGAAAAAAAGCTAACCCAGATGTACCATTCACAAATTTAATACAGCAATGAGAGAAACCACAGCAGTAAGATTAGGCTAACCTGGATGTAACATTCACAAATTTAACAAGGTAATATGAGAAACCTCTGAGGTTTCAGTAGTAAGAGCTATCTGATGTGTAATTTCACCCTAAGAGTATAATATACTTCATACATAAGCCATTAGTGGGCTTTTGAGGAAGTGATGCAAAATTCAATGTATAAAATGCTGATTCACCATTCAACCTATTCACAAATGTTAATTAATTGTAACAACTATTGATACACCACATGACTTTTAATCCATGGCAGACATCCAAATCTACAACTGTTTTATCCAAGCCATCTTGTCCAGTACATCTTGTGGATGCTGCAGATGTTCCGGGCACAGGGAGATTCAAGGCTTACTCAAATGGACACATCAGTGTTGTGTTTAATGACAGGACAATCCTGGATGTAAGGAATTCAAGTGACCACAAGAAAAATGATTTGCAGAACCGTTGGTGTCAGCTAGTTCTTTCAAATGGGAATGTTCAGCAGTTTAAACTGAATGATGTGGAGCAGTGTGGTTTTTACAAAAGGTACAGTGTTGTAAAAGGGAAACCAAATAAAAAATGTTTATTTCTGGACAAAGTTATATTATCCATGGGTAACTTAACGATGTTAGAATATCCAATGTAGTACAAAGTGGTCTCAGTAGAAGATAGCGCTTGATTAATCAATACATACTTTGAAACCTAGAGCCCCAATATTTTATGCTTTCCTTGCTTTACCCTTATCTTTCCATTTGTTACAGTTGCCTGCTTCTCATTTTATTGAGAACCTCAAAAGAAATGAAAATGAAATAATCTGACATTAACCCTTTCCACCCTTTCATTGATATACATATACTCCATACTGGTTTTCTATACATTCGCTAAGTTGCTGAGGAGGAGAATTCGTTTGATAATCCAGAGCTTCTTTAGTTGGTGACCTTTTCCTTTATTCTCACAACCTGAATGTGTGATTTGGGGGTGATATTGTAAGGAGAAATTAGATGCTAGTCACTCTTTGGGATTAGAGAGTTCATAGTGAGGTTGTAAATGCCCAAAATTCCCTGTGGGGCAATAAAGCCAACCCAAACTTAGTATAATATATACACACTTGGCCATGTTACATGTAGATCTAAGTTTAATCTACATAGCATTAACCCACCCTTAACCCTTAAATTCCCAGTGTTAGATTGTTAATTCTCCCTTCTAGCTACTAAAAATTTCCTTGTAAATTAGTTACAAGAATTTAGACTAAGATCAAAATAAAAACCTCTACCTGGTGAGTTTGAGTATTCTCATTACTTGTTTACTGGTTAATGTAATGGATATTATTGGGAGAAGTGACATGTTCATCACTTTTGGGAGTGAAAAGGTTGAGAAAATGCTGTCCTGTGCTAAGACTTTCTGTGAGGATGCTGAAACAAGTTGAATTTGTGTTAGCCATGACCTGTTTAGTGCTTAAGTTGATGTTGTTCTTGTCCAGGTATACAGAAATGGCTCTGCATTGGGCAGAGTGGGTAGCTGCTACACCCTCACAAAGGAGAACCTTTTACAAAGACACAATATGGGACCCTGAGAGAAGAAGGTGAATAAGACTCCTGAAACTTTGACCATAAAAAGCACTGAGCATCACAATTTACACACCTAGATCAAGAAGCAGATTTGGGAAATATTACATGTCTCTATGGCACTAGCAAGCTTTGAAAAAGTGTAACATTTTGTTATATTCCACAGGGCCGTTGACATTGAAATGGGAAAAATTAAGACATTCAATTGTATCCTTGGTGTCATCTCTCTTGAAAATAACTGAACCCTGCAATAGTTGATAACTCAAGACAATAATTCACCATCTTAATAAAAATGATCACCACTATTATCTAGTAAATTTATTTCATGTTCAGTAACCAGTGAGGACACTTCATTCACAGGTATGTTTTGATATGATTTATTGGAGTTTGCAATTATTTTTACTTACAATCCTTAACTTAGTGATTGAACTGTACTTCAGATGTTCATAATCAAAATCATGTGGAACATTTGGTGGGAAAAAAGTTTCAGGATATTCAGGTGAAGACAATGATTAAAAAAAATCATTTAATCAGAAAGGTTCCAGACCAAGGACTGATTAAATCTAGTTTCCTAGTGACTCTTATTGTTAACAATGTACAGTACAGGGTATCTAATTTTCAGTTTTCTGTTGATTCTAACCAGGATGCTACTGAGAATGACAGCACTGAGCCAGGCTCAGGCCAAGGTGACAGGGAAACTATAATCAGGAGAGTTCTGGAACAGACAAGTGAGGCCATATGTGAAATTGATGGTCTGCTAACTACATTAAAATGTTCATCTTGAAGAAAATGCCTCCTCTCCAAGATTAAGAATCAATTTTGGTGCCTAAATTGTTGAATTTTTCTTAAAAAAATATGATAATGATGTACATGTACAGCTGATTTCCATTTCAAAAGTTACTGTACTTACAACTTACTCTCATTTCTTCAGCAGCAAACATTTTTTTAAAAAAACGTTTTGTGATCCTGTGCACACTGAAACTCCACAAAATCTTTTCTGTAGACTATGATTACAAACTTAAGACTTAAAAAGAAAGGATTAGCTGCTTATTGAGAAGAACTGACTGGCCATTGGAAAGCATTTCAGGTGCACAATAGAAGCTAGCAGAGATAGGAAACATTGCATGTAATGAGTTATGCTTGTAGCTAGCCAATGCTAAATAATGCTGACCTATGGTGTGACTGCCAAATTATAGGCTTTCATGTCTTTTTCTTTTGGGTTGTTGCTGATGTTTTACCAGTGAGCAGCTCTTCCATTTCCTTCCAAGAATGCCATAAAAGGAGAAAAGGAATAATGACCCACAAGCCATTAAAAAATACTAAATAGCACCACAGGTACAAAGCAGAGCTTGTGTCTAAACTAGGGCTGCCTACCAACCATTCCGGACAAAATGTCATCCAACCTGGAAAAAATAATGACCCCTATTAACGGAAACAATTGTTGCAACATTTATTATTTATCAATGTAGAAGGAGAATAAAATTGTATATCATAAGCAGATAGACAAGAAATGACAATTACTATACCTCCATACAGCTCACAAACACAGAGAGTGATCTGTACAAAATGTCTGTTGAAATGATGTGAAACAAATAAACTTCAATGATGCCAAACATTTTGATTATGTGCATATATTTTCTACTGCAATAACTCATTCATTCATTTTTATGGTCTCTATTCTGAAAGTGTTGGTGTCTGTAACAACCCTGCCCCCCCCCTTTTTTTTCACCTTGTGTATGTTTGCAAATTTTGCAAATTTTTTTGTTATTCAGCTTAAATCCTTGTATATTACAACAAAAAAATCAATGGAACTGCATAACTATTTGTCCAGAAAACCTCTCTACCTGCAAGTATTGGATTCAACCTCAGAACAATTGTGATAAGAAAAGAAAATGTTTCTTTAGTGTTTCTTTCAATGGCACAATCTCAAACTTCCCCTTGATATGTTACAGCTTTCAAATAGAGGCCACTTTTGACATCTTTGGGTATACCGATTTCATGTTGGTTTTGATCTCTATTTCCTTCTAATTTCCCAAACAGTGATTGGCCTCTAATTTCTCTATACAGTATCACCCTTGAATAAAATGTCAGGGTCATGAGTATAAAGGAAATGATCAGCAATTTAAGAAGCTTCTGATAGTCTAACAAATTCTCCTAATCAGTGCATATCAGTGTGGAGAATATGAATACCAATCTTAGGGTGTAAAGGGTTAAATATCAAGACAGACCTGTAATGTTTGTTGTAAGAAATGGCATGAATCAACAACAAAGCTAATGGTCCTGTGAGAAAGACTGTCAGAATCTCTAGTGAAACAATTGTTGGATCAGAGTGTAGCCACCTTGAATCAGCTTTGCCATATTCCTTCCCTAAAATCAGAATTAATTTGTAATCATATCTAACATGAGGAAGCTGTTTGGTTCCACAGCAACTGGAACCAATGACAGCCATTGAAGTTAATAAAAAGTATCATTCACCAACACTGATAGTGTAGTTACCGGTACTCACACAACTCAGCCAGAATGTGGTTGGAGTTATTAACACTTCCAGTTAGAGAGAAGTACACAAATGGTCCTTCCTGTGGAAAAAGAAAATGTAAAAAGGTTTTTTTCGTAGATTTAATACAAACACGAGCTAATGTTTTCATAGGGAAAAGGATCCTTGCCTTTTCCTCGCATGAACTTATGCTATTCGGTGAAAATTGGTTTTTGATTCTTATTTTATTTGGGATGGACCATAAAAAACGAGGGAGGGGGGGGGTACAGAAAGTTAATGTCATGAACAATTTCTAACAATTTTAATAGTGCACTGCCTTGAAAAACATTTCCTCCACAGAGAGTTTAAGGAAAAATTTTGGAAAAAATATGGGACATTCATGTGGCTTGGGAATGCCACATTCTAGAATAATTTTCCAATTGGTCCATCCCTACAAAGAAATTCATGCATTGGCTATGAGTACTTTTTCTTGGGAAGAACGTAAAAATATTTATTTTTTCTTATCTGACTTGACCTTCCTTTTGCTGCTTGTTTCTACTGGTTTCCAATTATCTCCTTTTAAACTTTTTATTCCCTTCCGTCCATGATTTGAACAAAGTCATATATAGTGCCAAAATTTACACCCACCAGTGTAAAATGTGTCATCGCATCATACAATAACCACGTAATTATCCACTTCTCCAACGATGGCAGCTTACGACCAGCAGTAAAAGCTAAAATTATCGCTAAAAAGAGTTGCAAAAAAGTGAAGGAAAGACTTAGGACAGAGGTCGCATTTGTCTCCAGAGGTGTCCAAAGACGTGCCATGATACAGAGTCAGTTTGCATGTCATGTACGACCATCTGAAGATGACATATGTGTCAAGCGCCATTTTGACCGTGAAAACTGGACCGATCGATGCTGGTAAGTCGTTTCCGTTGACTTGAACAGGAGAGCACATTGAAAACAGTCCTTTCTGGTGTTTTTTTTCTACCTTTCATCGAATCGAAAGTTGATCGTACAAAGCAGAAGTAATTGCCAGCAATTTAGGTGAGAAATATCTTTCATGTAATTAGCTACTTGCATTAAAAAATCCGCATTCTTCCTGATCATATCAAAACTAGATGCTCATGAAATTCTTGAGTCTTTCACCTTCAATTTGCAATTACGAAATTTCTGTTGCTTAAAAGCCGTTAATTTTCTCTGTTTGGATCAGTTTCTGGGCTTGCAAGTTAATGTAATTGTACAAGTTTGAAGAAATCATTCTGTATCTTGAAATTAAATGCATGGGTGACGTACGCACGTAAAGCACCAGAAGAGTGAAAGTTATTTAATCCATGCAACCGAGTTCTTCAGCGCTTTGAAATCTACTCGTCGCTACCTTACAGGTTGCAATTAGGGGTAGGGTTTGTCCATACACAGGTTACTTACTTATTGGAATACCTTTCAGATCATTCTTATCATTCAATATGTCGTGTAAAAATGAGAATATTCTGCCGACCGATTTTTAAACTGTGTAGTGCATTGATGTGTAGCGAATAATTTGACATATTTCCTTAATAAGCTTAAAAAGAATCGTGTCTCTGATTTGGCAGTTTTAAATGAATTGATCTTCAAGCTTAGTTTTAAAACCTTAAATACATTTTTTTTAATGCAGCTCTTGATTCCTATATTTTCAAGGCTTTAGTAAATAAACATGTGAGACAGTATATGCAGATCTGTAATGAGGGGTTGTCTAACACAAACACTAGCTTTATGAAAATTGACCTAAAAATACTATGATTGTGGCTAGGCATTTCTTCTATAAAGTGCCTTTTTTTTTTATAGAGAATACATTTTTTTTAAAGAGGCATCAAGAAATCAGGGCTTCAGGAACAACCTTAGTTGATTTCTATTTTGAAGTATCATCAGGCCTTTTAGACATTCAAAGTCAATTTCTTACAAGAAGGGAATTTTTTTCAGGCATCCTTCTACGAAACAAACTGTGAGGTTCAGAGTCTGAGCATTTGATCTTGCAAATAGCATTTTTTAAAGCCTTATTAATTGTTTATTCCAAGCTTCATTTGACTACAACTGTCTTGCCTATGATTTACAGTATGTGAATTGATCAGAGATACCAATTATTATTGATGCTAAGTCATCCTCCTGTATGTCAGTGGCCTATTCAAAGAACAAAAATCATAGCAATTTTCAAAAGTTTTAATGATGATTACAGTTGCACATGAACCCATGCATAATCTGTGATACCTTTTACAACATTCTCCTGAAAGGCAAAGGTAGATTTGAAAAAGTTAACTTTATACAGGGACTGAGATCAACACTCTGGTAGAATCATGCCTTTATTTGGCTCATCCAAAAAGAGTCCTGCAGAACTTATAAAGATTGCTAATGATGACTTACAAGTTATCGAAAATGAGTCCACTGGAAGCAGAAAATATGACAAGGTGAGTTATCTTCTTATGATATAAGAGGATACATGTACTTATTGACTGGGAGAGAGCCAAATATTTTCTGACTCAGTCATTACAAGATAATTTGGTTTTATCAATTGAGTTGATAAATTAACCTTTTAACTCCCATGAGTGACCAAGACAGAATTTCTCCTTGCATTATCAATACAATATCAACCAGATCAGTGGTGAGAATAAAGAAGAATATCAATTTGGGGATAATTACTTGATCCAATACTAAATACTCTGAACTAACATTAAAAGAATCGTATAGTTGACAGTAAGGAGAATTACAAATTTGATCTGGGAGTTAAAGGGTTAAATGTAAATTGGCCACCATAATTAATTCCTAAAGCTGATGTTTAGCGTTATCCCTTCATCATGTGCTCTGACAAAGGGGTAATGCTTGAAACATTAACTTTAGAAACTCTTTACAGTGGCCAATCTATAGTAGGAACTCAGTTGATAACACCAAATTGTCTTGAAATACCCCTCGCTGATGCAGCAGTACAGTTTCTTTAGAAATTCCCCCCCATTGCCTTCGTCATTAGGCATGTTATGATATGACATACAAACAACTTGGCTGCAAGATATTACTGGCAAACAACATTACAGCCATTCATTTTTCATCAAGGTCAAGGAAAAGCAGAAAAGCACAAATTATGGGTTATTGTAATTAAATTGAGTGAATATATTGATTTTAGGGATCTTATCTCTTATGTGTTGATCAATATAAAGCTTCAACATTGGGTGGGCAATCTGAACCGTGCCTGGCTGGTCTACAAGGTTTTTAAGGTCTAGGTTTTAGAGCTTGTTCAATGTGTATCAAGTCACAGTCACTGATTTGCCTTTTACAAATAAATTGGGTGGGGTATTTGAACAAAATTTTTGCCCTGGGGTTGGGAATTTAACAAACAGTAACAGCCAGTTTTGCTACTTGTCAAGTATGCTACATTCACGTTTGCTTCATGTTCACTACTTATGTGCCGAATTCGCTACTTTCTTCATCCTATCATTCTATCATTCTACTTCCACGACCTTTTAGAACCAACATCTTGTTTTAAAGAAATCTGCCTTACTCAAACTGAAATGGGCACCATGTTTTTGCATATTATCATGGTGATTATCTACAAGAGAGAGAAATGGCAGACCTAGAAAAACAACTGTTAATGGCTAGCCCCTCTACCCTTTGGTCTGGAAGAGATATCTTAATGACTTCTTTTCACTGTGGGACATTTTTACAAAAGAAGCATACAGTTTTGTTGACTTTGCCAACATGTACCACCCTACAATCAGGTTTACTTGAATGTGAAACATAACCTTGCTTATCCTTGTTATTTTTACTTAAGTGTCTATGTTTAATTGTTTATGTCACCAAATAAAAATTGAAATGTTAATGATTATTTTCAGGCACTTGAAGAACTTGCTAAGACGCTAAGTGCTATGAAGACAATTTTGTATGGGTCTGGAGGTATTTCCATTCTTGCCAATGGTTCCTCATAGGTTGGCATTAGCCTTAAAATAAGCCAGCAGTCTCTGTAATCTTTGTCCGAGCTTGTTGTCTTAACTGCTGTCTACTTCCATACTTTTTTTTCTGCTTTCTACTTGCAAAAAGAAGGAAATACTTCTAATAAAAGTAATTAGTAACAAAGAAAATATGGAATCTTTTCTCAGACCAAGGTCCAGTGACTGAACATGTGGCCCAGCTCGCACAAGAGATATACAATTGTGATCTCTTCAAGACCCTAATACAACACCTACACAAACTAGATTTTGAGGTGATGTATTTTTTATTTATTATTATTAAATTTTTGACTAAATTTCCTGTTGTGTGTTATCTACTTTATGAGTTTCTGTGCTTGTAATGTCATGGTTTTTGAATTGCTACGAATGAATTAATGGGAAGAATTTTTAAGAAAAATTTTGTCTCCTTCAAGGCAATTCCCTTCTCAGAATACAGTGACATGACTTCTCTTATGAAAAAGTGGTAGAAGTGGTAGTTTTGTGAATCATATCTGATGGTGTAATATATAATGTGTTTGGAAATTTATCAAGGGTTGCATGGAGCTTTATCATCATTCTACAATAACTTGATTTTGCCCTTCTTCTTCTCTTTCTTTACACAAGAGCATCTAGCATGCATTATCAGCACCTACCATCAATGCAAGTGAAGAGTGGAACAGAGAGATATAGCATCGCTCATCTATCTGTCAATGATATCAATCAATTTTTTGAAGCCTTTAATCCTAATATAAGTGTGCATATTTTCCATACTGTTCTCTATGCATTTGCCTCTTTAGTTGGTGCTCAACTCCTTTATTTTCGTGGCTTTAAAGTTTGATTCAGAGATGATATTGCAAGGATAAATTAGCTACTAGTTACTCTCTGAATAATTACTACTGACAAACTTATTTTGGTAAACTTACCAGCTGATGAGATCATGCCAAAAGCTATAACACCATTCCTCTTCTGCTTCTTATTGAATAAATTTTTAGAGTACATAAACTGAAACAAACAAAAGAAAAATTCCCCCCAGCCTCTGATGATACATTTTGCTTATGCCATCATTTAATTGAAAACCCCTTTACAAGACTACCCTCATGTGCTCTATCAATTGACTGCCAACATATTGTTAAAACTGTTTATCTATTGTGATACTGTCTAGTAATTAGCTTGCTTTCCATTTAGAGCAAGAAAGATGTGGCTCAAATATTTAACAGTGTTCTCAGAAGACAAATTGGAACTCGAAGTCCAACTGTGGAGTACATTGTGGACAATAGAGAGATACTTTTTCTCCTTATCGGAGGGTAAGTTTGTGATCAAATGTTTAGTGATCTCTTTAATTAATAATTAATTCTTACTCATAAGTTATATTAATGCCTGTCTGTTTTTCACCATTCTGATTTCACTAATCTTGATTTTTTTCTTTCTACTGTTTCAGTTATAGAAGCCAGGAAGTGGCTTTAAACGATGGGATTATGCTCAGGGAATGCATCAAATATGAGCCCTTAGCCAGAGCTGTGCTAGATGATCAAAGGTTCTATAGGTTCTTTGAATATGTCGAAATGTCAACATTTGACATTGCCTCTGATGCATTTTCAACATTCAAGGTATGTGTCAAATTACAGTAAATGGCTGTTAATTGTTCTTTTTAATTTAATTAATCTTATGTCATTTCTTGTAAGTTTGTCCCTTTTGTTGCTTCATATCAAAGCTCAGGAAAGGGTGTAGAAAGATAAGTCGTAAAATATGTTTAATACTGCAGTCTCTCTGTGATGACTACTTGAACCTCTCACTCCCAAGATCTACTTAACAATTCTCCTTACTGTCTGCCATGTAATTCTCTTGATGTTAGTTTGGAGAATCTGGATCTCCTTATAATCCCATATTTAATATTTCTTTAGTCTCGTCACTTTTCTACTTAATATTGTATTTGTATTGTAAGGAGAAATTCTGTCTTGGCCCCTCATGGGAATTAAGTGTCAAATGAAAATTATGATAATTTGTTCCTTAATTTCTGTCTCTCTATTTTGTCACATCTGTAGGATCTCCTTACTAGGCACAAGATTGCATGTGCAGAGTTTCTAGAGAAAAATTACGAAAGGGTAACAAGAATTCATGTATACTGCTCTGTTTTATTTCAATTTTTCATTTCTTTCATTTTTCGTACAGTACCATTCTTACAGAGCTTACATTAACAATATTTTCATGTGCACCTACTTCTTTACTTAACTAACAGTGCAGTACATACTTAGAAAGTATTCAATACATACCTTATTAAACTATGGAGAAGAAACTGTGATACATTACATTTCAGTCAATGGTTTGCATTTGCATGCAAATGAAGACCAGGACTTGCTTTTACTTCTGATGTCATGCAAACTCTTTTTTTAAAGTTATTTTTAGGCATAGTTTTTACTATAGAAGTAATTAATGGCGGGGATTTGATTTGTAAGTTTTGTGGTGTTAGCCAGGAGTTTGTCTAATTGTCTTTTGCTGTTTGATGCTTTTTGTGTGCTTTTCCATACATTTTTTATGTGATTGTTGTGCCTGTTAGCCCAATAAATTTGCTGTTTGTTTTTTTCTTTCCCAAAGTTTTTTGAACATTATTCCAAGTTACTGAACTCGGATAATTATGTAACAAAAAGACAGTCACTAAAGGTAACTAAGTAGATTTCAGTTCATTTTAGCTGAGTATTTAACATTTATTTTAAGTATAGATGCATGCAGCTCTAATAATTATGTAATGTTTACTGCAGCTATAATTTTGACTTAAACTCTGTTGGATTGTTTTTATTTTATCCAATTTCAAATATTACCTGATATGAAGTTTGACTTCACTTGACAAATACCATGTATTGGGGTAGTAAGTTTATTGATAGATGTTACTTTGAGTAACTTCTTATTCTGCTCTTGTAACTGAGAGACTCACAAACCCATTCAGGCCTTGCTTTGGTTGTGACAAGTTAGTTATGGACTGACCTGTTGCCAGTAGGTCCAGGACATGCATGAAACCAAAAAATAATGCTGAGTACTTAATGCTGTTGCTTTTGGTTTCATTTTCCTTAGAAACACAAAGACATTCTATAGAATAATGAGATATTTCTCAGTGGAAAAAGTCAAGAAAATAAATAATTATATTTCCTATGGTCACAGTTTTCTGACCATTTTACAGTAACAACATTTGCAGTTAGCTGAATTTTTTTCCATGCAATAGCTTCTTGGTGAGCTGTTATTGGATCGGCATAACTTTACTGTGATGACAAAGTACATAAGTAATCCTGAGAATCTGAAGCTGATGATGAACATGCTGAGAGACAAGAGCAGAAACATTCAGTTTGAAGCATTCCATGTATTCAAGGTAAGGTCTGATCTTGTTTGGGTTGTTACTCCATGGCAACTTCCCTCTCGGCAGAGCTGTTACTAAGAGAGGATAGCCAGCCAAAATTGCAGTTAATCTGTCATCTTTCGATGGCTTCTCTCAGCATTGTTGCTTTAAGTGCCAATGAAAAATGTACAGTGATTAATATACCATCAAAGAAATTTACATAGCAGCCATTTCTCTATTCTGGGTGGAATTGGATCAGCATAATTTGTCAGCAACAGGTTCAGTTGTGTAGGCTGAGTTTCCATACTCACTTGTATGCCTGGGACAGAACAGTTAACAGCACTATTGAATGGTTCCCACTCTTGTGTTTGATCTGACAAAAGTAATCAGCAACCATGATAATCTGGAAACCTTATTTGCCTTCTATTTTCAAACCTATCAACAACCTTGTTGTGTGAGTCGCATATTTTGCCAAGAATTCATCACAATGAACCTGACTAGGTTTAACCCTTTAACGAACACTAACTCAAGAAACTCTTGATTGTTAGATAAATTCTCCTTGTCAGCACCTTAGTAAATTTACAGAGAGCAGTATGGAGAATATGTATACTGATGTTAGGGTGGAAAGGGTTAAAAACACAAACTTCTCCATCGAGCCCAGCGCATCAACCATTAAACTGTACAGTCAGCTTTTCCTGTTTTGTTTTGGGTTTTTTTTTTCATTGTTTGTTTCTGTTTTTTTGGCTTTAGGTGACTGTGTTTTTCTTTGTATTAAATGACTAAGGAGTATTTTTTCAATTCCATAGATTTCAGTTGTTATGTTATTCTTTCCACAGGTATTTGTTGCAAATCCTAATAAAACCCCGCCAATCCAGGAAATTCTTGTTAAGAACAAAGACAAACTTGTCGAGTTCCTAACTAGTTTTCACAATGACAGAACAGGTAATGTGGTAATTAACTGTCATGGGATCATGAAATGTTGAAAATCTTACTGACTAGTCAGAAAGTCTAGTTTCCTTGACTCATTTGCAACTCAGAATCTTGAACCTTGAATTCAGTATTGATTTTTTAAATGAGGATCTCGTTGTAAAGATAAATTGTAATGAAAAATTGTAGAAGCTTTAGTACTTTGGCAGGTTTTTTTTTTTTTACTGTAAAAATGCCTTTCATCTTGAAATGACCTGATAGATTTAAGACCTTAGATCGTTTCTCTATGCATTTCTTGATGGAGTTTTGATTTTTGTTTCTTGCAGAGGATGAGCAGTTCAATGATGAAAAAATCTATCTAATCAAACAGATCAAGGAACTGTAATCACCCCAGTGTGGAAATTAGTGTAAATCTTATTTTGTATCCAATATCAAGTATGTTTTTAACACCAGCGATCTTCACGATGTCTAGAATGAAACAGCTACAGTACATCATACAGCTCTTGACAAAACCGTTAGGAGTGTAGACCAGGGAAACAGTGCTTATTTTGGGGGGATATGTATCATGCTTAGAAATAATTGATCTGAGAATACTTCTAGGGGGGCGGAAAGTTCTTTGAGACAAACAAGTAAGAAAGAAAGTTGTCATTAATGAGTGGAGCCCAGTTATGTTATGAGCTCGAGATTTCTATCGCGTGATGGCTGTTGAGGACGAAGCAAGAATAAATGATCACGCATACAAAGCGAGGGAAAATGATTTACTTGTTTGAGCATAAATCTTCAAGTTATTCAAAACAACAGGACAGGCTCATGTTTTATTTGATTTTGTTTACAACCATACACTGCGAGGCTACTCACTTTTCCAACTGTTTAAATATAAACGGAATAATGAGCGAGTAGCAAAGCAAATCAGATTTTTGTTTTCCTGATGGAACGCTAGTAGATTTATACCAATACACAGTATGGCGCTTTTCTTTGTAACTGAAGAAAATTAATTTTCAATTCTCGCGTTTAGTTGCTAGACATCTCCTGCTGCTTCAGTTAAGACAGTTTGGTGTTTTATGAAAATGACACCCATTAAGTGATACGGTTTGTTATTCTCACACATATTTAGAGGATAACGTATAAATATTTTGAGGAAAAGTTATATGTCAAAAATCTCTGAGAGTTGAAGGATACAACAAGAGAGAGTGAAGCTTAGAGACTGAATTCCTCATTTCAAATGTGAACACTTCCATGTGTTGTTATTTGTAGGTTACTCCTGTTTTCGGAGATCCCTCGGGGATTTATTTGTCGCGGTTTCTTGAGGCCCCCTACTTGTTCTCCACCAAAACGATTAAGTGACACGCGAGGTACTTGTATTTCCTTCAGTTCTTTCTCTGAGCTTGATCCTCTCGTCGTTCCATAAATTACCTGTATTCATACATTGTATGAAGGGTGTCTTTCAGATCTTAATTCTTAAACTTGTGTTGGCACTCTAGGTAGAGGTAAAAGTGTTTCACTATCTTCCTCTTGTAAATCGCAGAGAGTTATTTCATGAGTAAATGTATGGTTCAAAGGGGTAGATCCTAACTCGTCTTTTCTTAAGAACACAGTTCTACAGCTATGAACAGTTATTGTAGGAGGTGCTGAGATCGTTTAGACATTTACTAGTCTGTTCTTTATCTCTTCACACCAGCTGAGACCGTGCTCTTGCCTTGGTCTAAGATAATCAAATTTGGAATCTGTGACTATTTTCAACACGATGCTGATATCGCGTTTGTTAAGTTGGCTTTGACTGAGCTGTAAACCTTGATCAGGTTTATTTCGAGGAGCTACATCGTGGCCAACACAGTTTAAAAAATGTGCCAAATTTTCAAGTTTGCCTCTTTCAATCTATGTCAATCTATGTCTTTTGAGTTATTCGGCGTTTTTGGTGTTTATTACTGGAAATGGAGTATTAAAGGTTCCTTCTAACTAAGATTGTGCTTAAATAGATGAAAAAATGCACGATTTATATACACACATTATTACACCAGAACAGTGTTCTCTTTTTGTGTAGATAGTTGTCCACTGATAATAGATTGATCCAGGCGAGGGTTTTGCGTTGAAATTTCTTGATTTTTTAGAAAAGAAATATAGAATGAAATTATCCTGATATTAAAAGACTGTTTAATAGCGGTAATTTACCCATAAGGGTGACGAGTTAGTAATGAGATGCATAATCACCCCTGCGCTTTACACATTAAGGAATCTTCGGCTTAACCGTACTGCATGTAGCCCTTATTTAGGCGACAAACGCACCCCAAGTAACTGCAAAGGAGGTAAATTAACCTCGTTTTTAACTCTAATAGTGACTAGCATCCAGTCTCTCCTTACAATATTATCCCAAATTCCAACATTAAGGTCATGAGAATGAAGGAAATGACCAGCAAGTGAAAAAGCCCTTGGTTGTTAAACACATTCTCCTTGTTTCGTCCTTAGGAGCGTGTTTAGCGTCTTCACCATCCTGTGTGACATCCAATGCATGTCTTTCTCTGCATCTGTTTCGTGTCACTTATGATACAGTCAAGAAAATGCATTACTACAGTAACTGTAATCATCAGTTTGATGACTGCCGGTAACTAAATTTAGACAACAAAGCAATTGGCCTCTGTTCGACGATAATAAACTTTTATTAAAACCGTTTTTTAGTTCATTTGAGTATAAAACTGTCTTAATTCTGCCATGATTGCTGCCAGAACGCCCACTGTTGCAAAGGCTCGCTCCCTGTGCTACCGGACTGTACCGTAATGTACTAATGATTGACTGATCGATTGTCTCCGGCTAATACACGTAAATACGTGTTCAGTAAACTAGCATCAAAATAAGCTCGTAAGCAAAAACTCGGTGGTGTCGTTAAAACTCTCCTATCCATCCGTTTAGGATCCATAACATTTTTACTTGCACTTGGTAGCTCTTCTGAGGTATGTATCCATCAGCTGTATGAGAAGTTCACAGCGGTATAATGTAGCAGTCGACTATCATAGGTTTTCTGTTGAACAATGGCCCGGCGATTGATTACGATACGTGGCTGTTTAGGTCATGAACACTTCGACACCGTTTATGACAAGTAATGGACATAAAAAGAACGATTAGTGCAGAATTCTCAGACATAGAAAAACGGGAAACGGTGGCTTTCCCTACTCGTTTTCTCTCTCTCAAAGACAATTCGTCACCGTTTCAGGCACCATCTTGATAATCCATTTCTAATATGAAAGTCACAAATACCATGATCGTATACGACACAAGAAGAGAGCAGCTGATTTATTCTTTATAATCGTGAAACGCTGATATCAAAACGTTACTTACTATCTCTCTAGAGAAAATGGCTGAAATCTAAGATTCCGTGAGTATCAAAGTAAGATACTTGATAGGTAGGCACTCTCATTTCTGTTTTGCAGCATGAAAACTGCCATGTTGGTCTGTTTGTGGTTTGCTGTTCTGTTATCAACTGGAGGTATGTTGAACGATATCACCTTGAAACAGAATGTCTTGGTTGGTCAGTAGTTAGTGTAGTCAGCGTAACGTGCAAGGTTATGCTTGCGTTTGCCTTTGGCGTCACGAAAAATCGAACTGCAAGGGTTGAAAGACTCGGTTCAGTATTGTCAGCTTCAAACGAGGCTACAGAATAACCAATATATCTAAAGCAGGGTGGCAGAAGTTTGCAATATCAGACCTAGGCTGGGATATAAGTGGAGCCGGTTCTAACCGCCATTCAAAATATTCTTTGATATCATATGATGCCATTGGACTTCGATACGATTCATGTTTCATATATCTAAAACCTCATCGTTTAGCAGCAGCACTGGTTATCTATCCCTAGGTTCTGCTCATGGACCGCCGACAAAGGTATGTGCATATGTGGTTATCTAAAACAAGCAAATAAACAAGAATAAACTCTAAAAAACAGATGAACAGAATAAACAAAACAATAAGCAGTGCCGCAGGCAATCAAACGAACAATATACGACCATAATGGGAAAGTTTCGTGTCTTGAATTTCTTCTCCTTGTATCCTTGTAATGGACGGTAAGAGTTCTTCGCTGGAGCTCACAAATGGGGAGCTTGTTCGTGAATGGCCGGGCCTCCACAGCACCAAAGAAGGGGCGTGGGGGGAGGGATATCCCAAACGTTTGGATCATGTATGTATTGTTTGAAGTGCAAAGAAACTCCATCAGAAAAAGTATTTTTAATCTTCACTTTAAAGAATTTACACCGCATTATGACGAGGAAAGAAATGATGGAATATTTTGGCGTATCAGAACACAACGAAGGTGAGTGGAGAATATACAGCAAATGAATCTTACGTAAATGCGGCAAAATTAAGACCGAGTGTTTATTTTTTATCATTTTCTCTTGTTTTATAACATTCTAGTTCCAGAATACGACGTAATTATTCCATACCATTCAAAAGAAAGTGGTAAATTCGTCTCTTTGTCCCTCGGCCAATCGCGACACCGAAGAAGTGTAGGTGAATCCGAGGTCACGCACTACAAATTGGCCGCGTTCGGCCAGGAGCTTCATGTGACATTAACACGAAATGGTATACTGATGAATCATGGGCTCACTGTCAAGACTCAAAACGCCGATGGAACGATGACTTCACGTCCTGTACCAGAAAATACTTTTTACCTAGGACATGTTTCTTCGGATCCGGGCTCTGTGGTGGCCGTCAGCGAATTGGGAGGACTGGTAAACAAAATTCTTTTAAGATTACATTGACGAGGAGTGGTTGAGTAGGGTTTGGTTTTCAGGGAGAAGTGGCATACATCTCGCACATAAAAGCAGCTCCCTACCCAGTTAAAGAGGTGAATTTTCACACACAAAATAGGGGCAGTAGGGTGGTTCAAATGCTCTTCTTCCATCTTTCAGTTCCGTCTTATAAAGGTTCTAATTCTTCTTTCTTTGAGTTAACTCCTGGTTAAGTCTTAAGTGTAAACTGTGATTTTGATAAGCCAGTCAAGGAACATTGGTAGCTTAAACTATAATTATCTGTACCCTCCTCACCAGACTGGTATCGTACGGACATCACGTGATACTCTTCTTATCCGTCCTCTTCCCGCCCGACTGGCCAGACACGTGACTGACAATTTCGAAACGTTACCGCATCTGGTGATCAAGATTTCTGTGATGCCTAGACTCAGGCAGAGACGATCCTTGGACAGTGGCGTGAAAAAATATTTAGAAGCTGCATTGGTTGTTCTGACCGACATGGAGAACAAATACGGTTACAATGGGACTGTTCAAAGGCTCCTTGTCATGGCTAATATTGTAAGTATCCGAGAGGGCCTGCCCGCTATGATACACGTGCGACTCACGTGCGAGTCACATGTGACGTAAGTGTTCCGCGTTGCGCTTCCACTTCAAATATCTTGGTTAAATCTTGCTGTTCCTTAGGTTGCAGGTTTGTTTCAGGATGAATCCATTGGAGCCACAAAAATAAGATACAGCATCAACAGGATTTTGGTCTTGCGACCCCAAGAGGTAAGGAAAAACAAATGATTTTTACGATTCATTGACAGAGGTGATCGTTCTTTTTGTTCACTACCCACGTCAAGTTATTGCATGACGGATATCTAGGTGAAATTCAGTTTGGTTCGAGTTAGCGCAAGGCTTGAGGGATAAACTTGCCCTTCTAATACAGGATTACTTGATCATTCAGAACCCCACACGAACCAAAATTAGTTCTCATTTTGGAAAAGTTGACATTTTGACTCTCATTATTATAACGATTTTATTCTCTTAGCTGGGAATCCAGAGTTCTGATTCTAACCAATTGAAGCTGGTGCGAGTGATCAAATGGATGAGGACGCAGTATGGAAGACAGCGTCCTTTTGATGCGGTCACCTTCATTTCAAAGTAAATACAATTAGTCATTCTTTCCTTTAATTTTTTTCAAGGATGTATTGCCATGTGCCACTCGACCGGCCTGATGAAAAGAAGGTAGCCTGTAGCCTGTAGCGTTCTATCAATACCTGTAAACGGAACGAAATAGATGCTCGGAGAATAAAAAGATGCGGGTTGAAGCGTGCATGGGTCCTGAGCCTCTCTCTTCTTTTTCGTGCTGCGCTACTATAGTGCCCTGATAACTATCTGAACGCTTTAGAAAAGTTAATGAGAGGGGGGGTTTAAGCCCCAGTAACTTGAGGATGTGTATAAGATAGTGGTCTGATTATTTTCAAGGCAGATAACTGTGTTGTGTTTCTGGTTAAGACATTTTACTCTCACAATTCCTCTACCCACCCAGGGTCGAGGCGCTGTAATCCCACCCAGGAGTATAAATGGGTTCAAGGTCATTGTCAGGGAAACCTTAAAAAAATGTCGAGTGACGCCCTAACAACCAATACCACAAGAGACGCAATTCTCCCGTTTTAATTTTAATACTTCTAACCAGTATATCTTTTTTGCTTTTACTAGCGGACCTGATAGAGCGGGTACGTTACAATATTCCTCATTTGAATGTTTTATCTTATAGCATTTAGAAGAAATCTATCTTTAGTTTTTACTTTTTGAATTTCTTCTTACAGTCAAGAGTAGTGCGAACACTATGTGTCGTCAGGTGACTGCGTCTGCTGTCACTGATATTGGACTGGGAACTGCTTGGTACATCGCGCATGGAATTGGACACAAGTGAGCATTGCGCCAGTTTCTTCTTCTTTTTTTCTTTCTATCAGAAAGGAAAATTCGCAGCTTATTTTTTTGGGAATATGTTTGTTGAAAGACTAAATGCAGTATGCAAATTTGCTTGCTGACAACGTGGAAGATATCAGGCTTAATATGCAACACCCCGAGTTTCCTTAGCAACCGTTGTTTGGTCTTGTCAGGCAATCCTCTCTCCCCACCCCCTTCCCCTACAACGGCAGCGAATGAGACAGGGAACACAGGAAATGCGGCAGGAATGTGCTAACGTTTTGACGCATCTGAAAATGTGATATACTTTAGTTCGTGTACTTTATGAGACTTACCATGAAGGTCTCATTTTAAGGGAACAACTATTTATTTGCATGGCAACAGAAGACCTTTGTTCGGAGAATCTTCTTTGTTGTCTATAAGGTGAGGCCGGGTGGCAAAATAGGGAACCTGGACGTGAATTTACACATACTCATTCTTGAGTTTTCTTTCTTTTATAATTCATGTACAGTATGGGATTAGATCACGACGATGATAGGGCTGATGGTGCTGATTGTCCGAATTACAAGTATATCATGTCATCAGAGAAAAACACAGCTCCTACGAGTTATATGTGGTCACCTTGCAGCAGGACAAGAATTCAAACATTTTTGAACTCAGGGTGAGTAACGAATTTCACGTGTACCTTGACTAAGTGTTCAAGGAAAGATTAATCCTCATCCTCTCAGTTCTTATTTTCCAATTTAAGAAAAAAAATGGCCATTTCAAAACGACCGTAAGGAACGCTGTTCTGGAATTATTTCTTCGTTAACTCGCGCTCTAGTTCTCTTCTTTCCGTCATACAGGTGTCACATCGTTCGATTTAAACTACTTGATCTAAATTTCTAAGGCTATGTTTAGCGTGTAACTTCCTCTTTCAGTAACCTTTCATGGTGTCTTAACGACCCACCAGTTTTAACACATGCCCCAACCCTACCCCCACGGAATAGAGGTAAGCTACCAGGCGAGATCATTAATGGAGACCAACAGTGCAGAGAAGCTTTTAGTGAGGATTTTAAGCATGTTTCAAGGGAGAAACTTAGGGTACGTATAATGATAATGAGTGTGAATGACGGCTCTTAGTTCCAATGAAACCTGCGAGTCTTCTTTTCCCTAAAGTGTATAAGAAACAGATAAAAGTTAACAAGTCTGAATATTTCCTTTTTTTCGAGTTATCGTTCCGCAATTTCCTGTTCATCTTAATTCCTCACATCTGACGTAAAAATGCCCACCATCCTTGAGAGACAAGGAGCGATCTCCACTTCACTCCACAGTTACAATCTATATCGCAATATAAAGCTCTCTATAGGAGAATTCGTGGTTCAGCGTCCTTTACACTGGATTGAAAACGGTCGTGAATATAGCCCCCTTGGGTCTCTTTGTAGCATTTCCTGCACAGGACACTCCGTCACTTTGGCAGTACCTTTTTCCATTCGGGAGTATAAATTTGTAGAGGGAATTTGCATGTCGTGGGAACCTGACGAAACTTTGAAGGAAGGGTGGGGTGGGTAAACTGCCATTGACTAGCATCCTTTTGCAGAAAGAGTAACAAAAAATAAAGGAGAAGGCGCGGCAGCTAAGTCGTTGAGTATTGCATGTAGACTTTGAATCAACTGTGGTCGGCATAACTTTTAATGACATGTTTGTTAAAACAGCAAGACTGCGGAACACTGTGGTGTGACAATGGTAAGGGAACTGTTCTCTCTGCTGATTCAAGAGTCGCTGATGGCACAGATTGTGGAGTCAATAAGGTAAAGACCGTGTTATTTCATTTAACCAGGCAACAACAAGAGAACAAGATAAATGGGAAAGAAAGAGATGCTACAGCTACGTGGTTTGTGATGAATGACATATAGCTCGTGAACTCTCGTTCAGCTTATTGATTGACTGATACCTTTTGAGGAATTTTACGTTCAAATGTAACAAGTGAAAAAAGAGAAAGAATAGAAATAATGGAAAAAGTTCATGAAGTCAGCATGGTATGATAAAAACACAGATGTATGGTAAAGAAACTCAATCTAGCCAGTCATAACAGGAATTTTTTTCCCCTTTTTTGATAATTGTTTCTGAAATTTCTCCAGTGGTGTATGATTGGATTCTGTGTGCTACGTGACGAGGCAAAGAAGCTTGGAAAATGGTCTCCTTGTTCCAGGAGTTGTGGGGGTGGAGTGCAGTTTAAAGAAAAAACCTGTTCATCTGTCAGGTATATTATAATAAATATTTTGGTCTTTGATTATTTTCAAAGTGCAAAGTAAGAGGAACAGAGTTGCATGGTGGTTAAACCGCTGGCCATCGAAACGAGAATTGGGTTCGAGCCGTGGCTTGATTTTCATTTTGGGAATTGAGTGTCGAAACAAAGCGGGATTGTTTTGGTTTTGCTTTGCTCATCTCTGTGATTGGTCCAGAAAACCCACGCCTCTTCCTCGACCAATCAGATTCAAAACGAAAACCAATCGCAACTTGGCCTTCCGCGTTTTCTTGTGCCTCAATCAGTTTTCTTGTTTCTATTTTGAGTCCTCACCGGTTCCCCATGATGCTTTATTTTCCTTCTTCTGATTGGTTGTTGTGAACTTGCCAGCTACTTTTTGTGTATCATTCACAGCACTGATGGGAACGCACAACACTCATGTAAAGGAACTGTTCGGGAATGGAGAATCTGCTCTCGCCAAGTAAGGGAGAAATTATTTTTTAGCTATGGATAGTTGGTGATAAAGAAGTTTGTTTTCGCGCATGGAAATAAATATACAAAATAGGTTTACCGAAACCGACAGATTAAGCGTGCGGCGACATCAAATGTGTACGTGGTCATCATCTGATAAAAAAATATGGGTGTTGTTCAGCAACATAACGAATAAAAATGACTCCCTTTTTTATTTGCATGAAACCAAAATTTCGATCGGGGCAGAGGTTGTTAACTTGCTACTTTTTCCATAGAAGGATAATTGCTTAAACAGGAGTAATTTTCTGTTCGCAAAAAAAAAACCAACATATTACTTTAAAATAACCACAGCCGTGTCCGAGGAGAAGCCACACGAGTTACAGAGACTTACAGTGTCGACAGAGGAACGCCGGGCACAAAGGAATAATCTTTCAATCAGGTTAGACTAATCCTTTTTCAGATGATCGAGGAGGATCAAAAATACGCTCTGACGAAGGGCAAACGCTCGAAACGTCAGCTTTGAAACTCTTTAGGGTGGCCAATTTACATTATCAGCTGATAATTTTCGATTATGTCGTCGAAACTGACTTCCGTTGAAGAGCTAATAACGGGGAGTCATTTTTAGTGCTGTAATCAACTTACAAGATACTAGATAGAGGCGCTTTTCTGTTTCCAGTTTTATTTTAACTTTTTGTCCGACGTCTTGCTCCGACCCGCTTTATGTGGCTTTGTCACTAACTGATGGTTTTCCATCACTTTTATCCTGTCAAGATCCTTGTGGCCTGTATTGTGGATCAGGACGAAGATGGCGTAAAGCTGGTAACGTTGATGATGGAACGCGCTGTTCAAGATACGGTTTAGATGTCTGTATTCAAGGTCGTTGCCAGGTAGAACGCGTCATGCATGGTGGCTTTCATCGTTCCCAACTGAACGAAAAACCAGTCGCTTTACCACCAGGCGAAAAATTCATTGGAAATTTGCCGCATTGTCCAATTATATCCTTTCATTTTCCGTATTGTGACGACTACTCAGATATGATAATTCATCCTTGAGTCCTGATAGACGATAAAGGCGCAACTGTGGACACATTTCCCCTCCAGCCATGCCCGTAAACCATTCGTATTTAGTAGTAGCAGTTTAAGAATCGTTAGGAAACATTTTTAACTCGTGTAAACGAGTTTTATTCGATACTGACCATGCTTAACCCATTTCAGTCGGTAGGTTGCGACCATGAGCTGGGGTCTGGTGCGAGGTTTGACAGATGCAGAGTTTGTGACGGAAATGGTACATCATGCGTGCATGTGACAGGAAACTTTACTGAACAATGGAATAAACTTGGTGAGTCTTACTTAACGTATCATGGGAGATAGTAAGACATAAAGACTTCTGTTACAAATTTGTAATCAGAAAAATGAATGCCAAAAAAGAGTAATGATAAAAGTACAGTAGAAATATCTGTTTTTCTTGCGTCAAAGTTTATATTTTTTTTAAACTATACACTAGCAATAGTCAAAGCTCGAGTTCAGCTTTTTTTTTCCAGGACCAAGAAACGCGCGTGTTATTGTGGAACTACCGGTAGGAACCCTAAATGCAAAGTTCAAGGAAATGGAAAGGACACCCGATGCAATTGGTCAGTGAGTCTCGGCAAAATAGACATTTCATTTTAATTTTATCCCCTAGTAGTTAACCTACGTGCAAGCCCTCATCATTATTAGCGCTGCAGGACGTGTGTTTCTCCGCCCGCGGTAAGATTTTAGACGAGTCGGAGAGAGGCTTTCCGGGATTCTGCTTGCATGGCATTCCTCATTATCAGTGTTAGACCTCTTTCAAACTTATCACCGGTTCGCGTTCCGCGAAGCTATATATTTCCCGAGTTCGAAGAAACGTTCGTGCCTAAGCGCTGATAATGATGGCTTGCTTCAAGGCTACCTCATAGTAAACGTGCTTAGTAAGTGATCCAGTCGAGTTTTCTCAAATTAATCACTTATTATTGGCAAAAAATTCGTTCACTAGTTTGTTACATATATTGGAGAATAGTCTTAGCCGGAGAATGTTCTATCGTAGACAGTAATTTGAATTATTATCACTGAATAACGTTTTGTCTTTTACAGGTATTCAAAATTCTGCTGGTCAGTACTTATCAAAGGGAAACAGTCGCACACCTCGAAAAGGGAAGATATTTCACGCAGCGGGAGCTCGGATATCTCTCTCTCAACCGACAACTTCATCTGCAGACGAGCTGGCCATAGAAGGACCCACCACTGCTTCTCTGAGGGTTGTGGTAAGTTAATCAAAGTATCAGGCAGCTATTTTCTTGGTGCTGGTATGGCTGGTGCAACAGAGCGGTCAAACGCCTGCGCATGTGCGAACATTAAAATGATTGACAGGGGTGTAGCCAGTATTTTTCAAAGGGGGGTCAAACTGTGTCAAAAAGAGGGTACTCACCAGTTTTCGCCACCTGAATATTGTAGGTTGTTTTCTTTAAAAAAAGAAGCTTGTAACTTTACATGTAAAGCGCATTTGATCACATCCTCCTGTATGTTAATTTTAATATTATTATTATTACAACGAGGCTAGGACCCCCCTTGCTACGCCCTCGATTGAGATTCATGTCTACTGAGTGCCCAATATGACTTCAGAGGATGATGCACCGAGATTTTCTTATGTCTGTACATATTATCTTCTCCCCGGTGTGGATTCAAACACACCAGTGGGTCTCACCGGACCATTTTTTTTTCTCAGTTGATAAGGAATGGTCGGCGGGGAACAAAAGGAGTGCGATACCATTATTGTAGACCGCTGTTTGCATATGAAACCACAGGTGAATCAAGTACCACATTTGAGTGGAAAACCAGCGATTGGTCTCCTTGCTCAGTATCTTGTTCGACCGGTGAGTGAGGTTTAATTCGAGTGCATCACGCTGGGAATGCAAAAGATGTTTCAATCGGTATTTTGATCTAATCAAGATAGTCTTAATCCACGCTGATCAGTGATTGAAATTGGCACCTACTTTTTCTGTTCTACCCAAGAGTCATTGCGTCGTATTTTCGTTCCCTTTCTGAGTTGACTTATATTCAGTTGCGTTCAAGTTCATGTCTGTGTACCTTGAGTTTTTATCCATTTACTCGCTGCTTAGATCTTCACATAGAAAAAGAAGCCCCTTCCATAGGGTTCTCTTAAGTTCCTACTTTGTTTCTATCCATATGAACCTTTAGTAAAGATTTGATCCGATCATCAGGTTTACAAACACGAGACATATGGTGTGTGCGATCTGATGACAAAACGCCGGCCAGCTTCACCGCTTGTGGCACTCAGAAAATGCCCGTGAAAAAAAGAGACTGTAATGCGCAGGCGTGTATCGAAAAATAGACATCGCCAGAACAGACCAAGCAAGATGCAGGACAGTTTCTCTTCAGTTTTTTTTTTAAAAGAAACTTTGCTGAAACAATTCGATTCTGTTTTAGTTTTTGAGGTTTTTTTTAAACAATTTTATCCACATTGGAAAATGATTCATTTCTCGAATTTAAATTTTGAAAAAATTGTATTTCAATCTTTTCAGGCATCCTATGTTAATTTGTAATTAAATTCCAGTCATGCACAAAGGATAATTGTGAAACAACATGCTACACTGCACGAACTTGTTCCCTTGGAAGTGCCTGGGCGTTTGATTTCAATCATCATTGAAATTTTTCAAATTCAAATATGAAAATAAAATTGAACTCTAAATTTTATCTCAACGTCAGAGATGAAGTCAATGCTGAGCTACTTAAATACCATTTCCTTTTTATTTGTTCTCGGAAGGCGGAAAACGACTTAAGAGGGTGTTATTTGTTTGATTAGTTAAACATACTGACCTATAATTCACGGAAAACCCGCAAAATAACTCACTTAGACGCGCTGGAAGCGGAAAGGCGGGGCCAGATATAAACAATGTCGATGTAAATCTAAATTTAAATTACTAAGCTCTCGTCAGAGAGATAGCAAGTTATAGAACAAATGTTGCTTTCTATCTAGTAGATAAACAATTATCTACGCGTTTGCCGAATTTTAATCCTACATACGTGATGTAAGGAGAAACTATAAAGCATTTACTGGGGTCACGTTAAAAGTTCAAGACTTAAATTGGTTGAAAGAGGAGATCGACGACTGTGATGGCGAATAACATATCGTATATTTCACCTTCAAATTGCTTATTTTTGGACACAAATCTTCAGCCTTTGCCTTACATCAGTGTGGCAAATATAGTAGCGTGCATTGTGAATGCGATTTTTGCGTTCATTGCCGCGTCATCGAACGCTATCGTTTTGATATCAGTGTGGAAATCACCAAGTCTTCATACCGCTCAGAATACTCTCCTCTGTTCGGTGGCCTTTTCTGATTTGCTTGTTGGTGCTGTTATTCAGCCTTTAGACGTTGTTCAAAGAATCATGGAGGAAACAAAAAACATCGAGATCTACTGCAGAATCCGTCTAGCCAAGAACTCCTTAGCTTGGATAATATCGAGTGTATCATTTTTTATTTTGACAACTATTAGTGCAGAGAGACTTGTTGCTCTCTTAAAACCTTTTCAGCACATCATGCTTGTTACTCATCGACGTATCCTGCACTTGGTGTTCAGCTTTTGGGTAGTGTGCGCCATAATTTACCTGCCGAGATTTTTCGGTCTTTCCAACAAGGTATTCTTTATTATAGCCTCGATCCTCGTTTTCGCAAATTTGGCTATCATCGCTGTGAGCTACTTTAGGATATTTCAAGTCATCAAGCTCCACCAGCGAAGAATCGACCACGAGGAGAGCTTGAGAAGCCATTTTCACGGCAAAATGGCCGAAGCGGACATGAAACGGTATAAAACGTTTACAGTAACAGCAGCGTATGTAATAGGACTGGTTGTTTTGTTTTATATCCCATTCATTTGTTATCTTGTGGCTTATGCCATGCTTGGATTTACCGGACCGGTCAAGTTAACTTACATTTGCATAGAGACATTATCTTTTGTCAACTCATCCATAAATCCTTTTGTATATAGTTATCGATTGAGAAATATTCGTAAGGCTATAGTTAGAACCTTGCACTTGGCAAAGCCAATGTCTTCTAGAAGAAATTCCTTCAGTCGCCGTGGCGAAGTAGTTGATGTTCACAGCAGGCACGTATCTTATCAAAACTAACGTAAACGGAAGGTACTCGGCGATTTTTTCCGTGAAGGAATTTCGACTCGTTGTGACCGTCAAAGGGAAATACCTTAGAATAGAATAAAACCTTGAAAAAAATAGTTGATGGAATAGATGGACGACGGAAATAGCCAATAATAAACCAAAAACATAACAGTTATGACTAAGGATTACCAACATTGACGCCCACTGGAAATTACGAACTTTCGAAGTTAATGTCACGATCCAAATTTTAAGTATGACGTGACTCTCTTTCGATAAGTTCAACACGTAGGCACTCGCAAGGAGCCGAGTAAAATTATGGAGCAATATCACGTGTGTTTTCAAAGTTGCAGAAATTTCCTGAGTCACGTAATTCTGAGCATTTCTGGAAACACAAGTGATATTACGAGGAAAAACCCGATAACTGGGACTTTTTACAACATAAAGGACAAAATTTTCGGGTAGGTCAAAATTTCACGCTGTTGCGCGATTTCGTAGTGAGCTATTTCAGTGGTCAGTTAGCGTCTATGAAAGCTAAAAACAGCAGAATTATGTTTACTTTGCCACCACAGCGCTATCTAAAGTCACATTCCCAATAAAGAAATTATTATTTTAAGGAAAAGTTAAGCCTTTTTTAATTTTTTTTAATTTCAAGTAATTGTGCCCGAGACAATTACCGAAACTAATGAAAATAGCCTTATCTCAGCCAATCAGCATTTAGTAATTTTTCCCTCTTTGTTATAAGCTTTGTTACTTGTGGATACTTGACCAGCAGATACAGAATTTAAAACAAAATTCGTTTAAAATGTGGCGTTAATTGGCCAGACTTTAATTACATTTTGGATTAAACCATCAAAAGCAAAGTGGGAAAATGGTTGAAAAGTTGAAGCATGAGACAACAAAAATAATGATAACATTAAAACAAAACTTAATTCAAGAAACAAGCAGCTGTTTCAGCATTTCAGCTTCAGAAATTTAGAAAGCACTCCTGTAGATTTTAAAAATTGTGAGATGTAGTAAGCTGCACGTTGTTGGTCGCGCGATGAAGCGAAAAATTGATTCGATTATAATGGATTAGGAATCAAATCGACCGTGGGTTTCCTACGCTGTGAGAATATCTTTTCTGGGACTGTTCAAGTGATCAAGATTTATAATGGCAAAAATACGCTGAAAAATTTTTTTTCTGAAATAATCATGAATTTAATTAAATAATACTCAACTAATTTTTAATTTCATTTTCAGTTCGGAATCAATTGCGTGTTTAACTCGGCCGATTTAAATTTCGGCAAACTAATAAATGTAACAAAACATTCAAACACAACATCGGTCATGAGAAACAAAACAGCGTGCTACTCGCCAAAACATTAAACCTCATCAAACCATTTGAGGAAAAATTGATTCGATCAGTTTTGGTGGCTACAACAGACGCTGTAACCACGAAAACTGATCAAATCTTGTGACAGATAATCGGGAAAATATTTTGATCCAACTATTTGTGTGTCGAGCTATTGTGACAGCTTTGCAGGCTATAAACAAGAAAGTGTACCGATTCTATAGCTGGCACCGACGCAATTTTGTTGATTAGGCCGGGAGAAATAATCATCGGCTGGTATTTTTCTTCGATTTCCCTGAATTATTTCGGTGGCTTTTAAAATACTTTTATTGTAGATTTCGTCGAAAAAAAAGTGCAAAGTACTGATCTACAGATAAAAACGATCATGTTAATTTATGAAACTTAGTGATATTTGTAGAAATATTTCCCAACCTCTTCGTTAATTTAATCCCGTAATAGAGTACAAGAGTGGAGCGCACGCATGAGGGAGGAGGGGGGAGGGGGGAGGGGGGGTTGACTTGAAGAACTGGCGCCCTACCCCTCCCACATATTCCTCATTTGTCAGTCAAACCCAACTCTCGCAAAATTTGTCCTAGCCATTCAGACTTTCGCTGCGTCAACATCCAACGCGTTCCAAATCCGTTTCCACCCGTGATCGTCGTCACTGTCTGTACCATGAATATGTTCTATGTCAGATCTACTCCACGCAGTCTAATTTGTCCTGTAACTGACCTCAATAGGAAGCGAGAATAATATACGTCATCAAAGTCTTGGAAAAATATAACCTAAAAACACAAACTCGTCTGTTCGAACTTCTTTTTAACAGGATACTCATCGAACAGCTAATGTTTTCGAGTAAGAAACTACAAAAGAATAAAAACACATGAAAAAAATTATGCACTCTTTCCAGCGTTTCCTGACTCGAATCCCAACATGGCTAATGCTAGCAGTTAAAAAAAAAAAAAAAACGCGAAATTGTTATAACTTCTCCTTTCCGTCACTCAGGTCTTACGACAGTGATATTTCACAGTGACTGTGTTCACAGCTTGCATGCCGATTCCATACTTGCTATATTGGACGCTAAATTGACATTCGTATCTACCATTAACTCTTCGGCTGTTTCCGTTGCATTCGCGAAGAACGTCCGATGTTGGAGACACAAGTATACGTGTTCCGTTGTAGAGGTTGATGGTTACTTCGTCAATTACGAATCGTGTGGCGGGCGGTGAACATTTTAAGATGATCGGAAACGTGGATGAAATCACTGCAGAGTTAAAAAAAATTGTAAACATGTAAACAGATAAGCAACTAAACATGTAAAAAAGTAAACAAGTAAACAAGTAGATAAACAAGTAAACAAGTTGATAAGGAGAAAAATAAATAGTCAAGAACACAGAGAAAGTAACTGAAATACGCGAGCAGTGTAAAAGTAAACAAGTAGTCAAGTAAACAAACGATCAAACAAACAAACAATGTTGTTGACAAATGGTATTTCTTACCCGTGCAAGGTCTGCTATGCGGACCAACACAGTCCATAGTGGTCTGTGGATCTCCAAAGCAGAGTCTTTTGCGCGACAAGATTGGAAATTTTGCACAGTTCAAATTAGCCAACCAGTGATCAGACTCATTTGCACAATCTCTCTTCACCTTCTCGCAAAATGATTGGCAGGGAGGTAGAGGTTTTCCATCAGACGTGCAGTATGGAGCAAGAAGAAAACAGACGAACCTTTTCAGATGCTGAGAGCACTTTGACCTCATAAGTGAACTCATCCCTTTTGAGTTAAGGGTGGTATTCACCTCTATTTGGCTTGTGTGGTTCAATAGGTTTGGTAAAATAATGTTGCTGTAATTAAGACTCCTGCAGAATGGAATCTTGAGGGGCTGACAGTGTGACTGTGTCCGAGAAATTGCTGGGTCTGGATAGGAAGAAAAATAAGAGTAGTTAAGTTATGGGTCTCTTTCTTTGATTAGGAGGTAACTTTAGGTCTTCTTACCGGCATACGGAGAAGAAAATGGCGTGAGGGTGCTAACCGGTAAGATTTTCTCTCATAATTTTCAGAGGGAATTTAATAACACCTGCTACTATTTTTAGTTTCCATTTGTAATGGCTGTGACACACAAGTTTCGAAAACGTTCGGTAAAAGTAGGTTGTGACGGAATATAGCATGATATTATAGAATAACACTAAGTCAAGCAGTAGCGTCAATGGCTGTATTTTTTCTTCGATGGAATAACTTGTAAATGAAAATTTTACTGCATTAATATGCAAGTAGCATTTCCTTTCCTTTCCAGCAAGTTTTGATAGCAACACGGACATAACCTTAAAAGTAAATAACATGCAGCTCACCTTTTGTATTATTAGGCTTTGGTTTAAAACAGAAACCTGAGCGATTCAAAGGAAACTTTGGCGTACATTTCATAGCATCTGGCCAATTAAATCCAGCTCGCAACATAATAGGTTCGCAGCCCCGCCTTGCTTCCTCACAGACTTCTCGACATGGAAGGATCAACTCGTTCACGTTGCGGACACAAGGAGGTATATACAGCGTACACAGAAAAAAGCGAAGCACCGGGGAACACTTTGTTAGCACCAGAGGGTAAAATTCCCTAATCCGTTCCTTGGCCAAGTTCTGTGTTTTGTGTTTGAAGATGTTTGGCATCTGAACAAGGGTGTAGCCCAGGTCTTTACACATATCGGTGTTGAGTGCATAACACTGCTTTGGTACCACAATTGGTTCTACTACTATGAAGAAAAGGGAGAAAACTCTTTAAGAGCCATTACCCTATAAGAGTTCACGCGCTGAGAGTCAGGATCCTCGCTGGCGCTTAATGAAGTATCAGAGACAGAGAGGTGCATTTTTAGCGAAAGCTTTCGGAGGGAAAATTTATGCTAGAAGTAAGATAAAAAGGTCCTAGCTGATACCCCACCAACTATTTGAACGTTTACATCCTTCCTGGAAGAATGCCTCCCAATTATCTTTTTTCCTCAGAATCTATGTACAAGTCAAATTGAACAGATTCGTGCGCGTTAAGCAAATGACTTGTTACCGTGGTTTATGGTGCCATCTTCGCTAACACAGGTCTTATCGCTGGGATCAGGAAATAAACTGCATTTGAATTTGTAAGGCCAACCAAACCCAGTCTTCTTCAGCCAAGGCTCACAGTCACGTTGAGCCGCGCGACATACCGAGCGGCATGGGGGCGTGACAGCGTTAGCGTCATAGGCGCATGGTGTGAAATACAATGAACACAAAAACACGTGAAGAACTGTTGAGCAGTTTGATTGGATCATACGAGTGAACTGCGAAAACTCGTGCCCAGCATCTTCGTGGTTCCTCTGATTGAAATTGTTCGGCAGCTGCGTGTAGTTGTAACCGACATTTTCACACACGTTGGGGATGCGTGTGCAGTGACCGGGGACTTGAGACAAGTTCGGTGACTGAGCTGTCAAATCATTGTTTTGGCTTGAAGCGTTCTTGATGTCTATAAAAGCACAGATGGACAATAAGCATGTTGACCGATCATTATTTATCACCTGGGGGAGGGGGTGTGGAGGATTTTGGTTGTGTCATGAAAAAAAAATCACCCGATAACCCCATAATGCTCTTTAATATTCTGATGATTTCCCCCCTAAGTGGAAGTAATTGGCAGTCAATTTTTTGTAGTCCCTTTATACTCTGTTGGCAACGACTAATCTCCCCTCCGGTCTCCCCTGAAAACCTAACCTGCCCCAAATTTTCAGTTAATAGAACGAAGCGCGATAGTAAACTGCGTTATTGTAGCAGAGGAGTGAAAAACGAGGGAGAAAGGGTCGGGTCGAGTAGAACACGATACTTGCTTATTAGACACTTACCTGGCAGAGTCCTTACTTTTACCCAGCTGGAGTAAACTCCTCTTAATTTTCCATCGTTCATTAATGGCGCAATTTTTACCCTGTATCGTGTCCCTGGCCTAAGGTTGGTCAGGTTATACTGGTTCATCTGTGGTTCAAAAACAGGTTTACACAATTTATAAACCGTATGCAAAGTAAAAGCAGAGTACGTTGTTCATTTAGTACAGTTTTGTAGCCCGTGTGGTCTTTGTAGTGAGTGTAATCCCTGTATTTTCTGTAGGTATAGCTCGGCGCTATTGGTGTAGTTCGTTCCGTTGGGTGCACTCAGGTTAGATCGGTGCATCTCGTGAAGTTGGTGTAACTGATTTACTTGGTACACGTACCATCAACTACATGAAACTAGGACAACTTCAGCAAACTATAACGAACTACAGCAACTACACCAGCCTCGCCAAACTTCTCAAAATTTTACCAACTACCAAAAAAAAGCATCCACCACTTCAAACTAACTCAATTTCGCCTAACGTCACCGACCACTTCGTTTACACCAAACTATATCAGTTACACTAGCTACAGAAAAATTACACCAATAACAGCAAACTACAACAACTGAGGCAAATTATACCGAACCTCAGTAACTACAGCAAACTATAGCTGCGCCAAATACCAAGCTACACAAACTACACTGAACTACACCAACCACACCAAACTACACCTACTGAAATGCAACGAACTACAGCAACAACGCCAAACGAAACCAACTGAACTGCGCAGAACCACGTCAACTGAAGCGAACGCCAGGACTGATGTGACTACACTCACTATATAGCGAGACCACACAGTGATCACACTGACCACACTGACCACACTGATCACACTGATCACACTGACCACACTGACCACACTGATCCCAAAGACTGTGCTAGTTGAGCGACATACTCTGCACTTACTTTGTATTGAACGTGTTCTATTTTCGTGATGGTAATCATGTACATATTACCCGATCGGTATGTATATTATCAACTGATACAGAGTAACACCATTAATTAAAACTGAAGTTATAAAAATTGTTGTGTGTCAGCAAAGTAAAAAGTAACTTACAAAAAGTTCAACGTGGATTCTTCTCTTGTGTTGAGCTTGAACTGGGACGAAGACAAGGCTGTAGCCCGCCAGAGAATCCGGCCCAACCATGGGCAGGTCCCATGATAGTCTCAGAGAAGTAGGAGATGAAGCGTCTACTCTAAGCTTTATAGGGGTGCTTCTTGTCCCTACAGAATTTTAAAAAACAACAGAATGTATGAAAGTGAACGTCAGCAAGTGAAACAATCACAGTTTTCCATCTAAATCCCATGTCATAACACGTTCACAGCTCAACCGATTGTCAAGCGGAGCAAGTGGTATCTTTTGTGAATGTCTTATTGTACACTTTCTTTAAAACGGATGTACAAAGCAATGGTATTATATAATCTCGTTTTACGTTGAAATTAATCAACGTTGGTTTACGATACCGACAGAGTACCGATCTTTGTGGATGCCCCAAACGAAGAGAATTGTGGTAAAAAGAAAAGAAATACTGCAATCCCGAAAATATCTACCCTTACCATAATACCCCCTGGACAGATAAAAAAAAGTATTGATTGATCAAAATTTAACTTGGGTGTGCGCTAGAACTATTCATGAGATCCTATGTCAATTCTTTGCGGGAGATGTTGTACGCCTTGTAGGACTTTGAGCAGTGATTTAGTAAGTTAAAATTCTTTTTTTTCTTTTTTTACGTGATTCTTAAGTCACAGCTAGCAAAAGAAACTAAGTTGCCAATTCAAATGCACGTTGTTATTGAAAAATTTAACAATGTATAAGACAGGCTTTTTCTTTGGAAGATTAAACAAAGAAAAAAGCCTCTTTACGGCTTTGCAAATAGCAGGTTTGTATTAGCTTTGCACCATGTTATCTTTCCATCCAAAAGCCAATTGAGAGCAGTCAGATCTTTTGCAAAGCAGAATTAGCTCATGTTTACCAAACAACAAGCACTTACTTCAAAACAAGCATATCAGTCAAAAATTTGGGCCGTGATTGGCTTCAAACCTTTGGCCCATGAGAGTGACCAGCATGTAATTTCTCGACACCACCCCTGAATCACACATTGTGATCACAAGAATAGAGGAAATTATCACAAATTAAAAAAGCTCTCGTTTGTTCAATAAAATATCGTTGTCAGTACCCTAGGAAATGTATAGAGAACAGTTTGGAGAAGATGTATACTGAATTTAGGGTATAAAAGGTAAAACAAATTATGTAACGTTTGTTTACATTGGCTCGTCGTAAATTGTTGCACGAAAATGCAAAGTCTGGTAACAGCATTCCGGAGGCAATTTTCAGACAACTTTGTAAGATTGGGAAATCATTGAAAGTGATTGCAACAATTTTTAATAAAGAAACTGACCTCGAAGGCAAATATTTGGCATTTATTTTCACTCTAAAGACAATGAGATTGAGTTACCTGTAAATGATGACAAGAAGTATTTGACACATTTGCTTTTAGCCGTAGACACGTTTGTCTTCTTATCAGGATTTTGACTGAAATACGATTTATTTTGTCTTTAAATAAATACACGCGTTGAGAGCGTGACAAACTTTGTTCCATTTTCACGTAAGCTGGGTGTCACATGAAATACCCAATAAACTTTATATATTGTGTAAGCTTTATGTGTCGGCATGCTAGGGCAAACCTATCGTTCCCGAAAAGGTGTCTTCAGAAAAAACTTGGCTTAATCAAACTTGGTTTGTTCGGTCGCGATCATTTCAATTTAAGAAAATAAAATCCCTTACACGGTGGCGTTTTCTCTGTTAGATATATTAACCTTGAGGAAAAGTGCTTTCGACAGTCCTACATGAAAACTTTCAGTAAAACATCCTAAGGAAACTGATCCACCTTCACGGAGTTACGGAGACCTCTGTTACGGCAAATTAAATGTGGCTGGTTGAACACAATTGGAAACTAATTTTCTGTTCACCTCACCTTTTCTGGCTCTGCAGATAGCGAGAAAAATTCCAAACCAAACGAACACGAGAAATTTCATTTTTAGCCCTCTGCTCCTTGAAATACGTCGCAGCCCCCTTTAGAACAGCGAATGTGCTCTTGGCGTGGGCGTTCGCTAGCTGGGTAAAATGGCCCGCCTGATCTAAAAGTGCATACGGCTTTGTCTAAATAACTATCAGGAGACATTTCCGTGACATTTCACAGTTTTAATTGAAACTATGTGACCCCCTTAACTAATGCGTTTCTACAAAGCCACTTAGTTCAACAACATCAGGCCACGTCAAAAAGCGCATGAGATCGTTCGTTGCAAAAATCAAGATTGGCAATGAGTTAAGTAAATTAAATTTAGGTTAAAAAAATGCCTGCGATATTTTACAGTGGTTCGAACCCAAGAGTCCTTCCTTCTTGAAAGTTTTTTAAACTTCCTTACGTAATCCTTTTAGTAGACGACGTTCTATGTTTAAGGACTAGGAGAGAAAAACTGTCAAGACTTCAAGAGCCCGTTGCCACACACTTAAAATATTTCTAAAAGCATAGAGGACGCTGACAACACATGCCGTAACCCTAATTAATCTTTTTCCGAAATACTCCACGACCACAAACTAAACTGTGCAATCGCCTCGATCGTTAATGCAATTACAGATAAATTGTCATACTATTTGTCCCAATCAGCCCCGACTGTTCATTGACGTATTTGGTTTAACTTTTAAAGCGTCTGATATGGAAAGCAGGAGTTTTCTTTCTCAGATTTTTGACGTAAATCATATTTTGCGGCGTTTAATTTGGCAGGAATTTTTTCTTCGTGAGCTTGTCGTTGTCGATAGGCAAATTCCCACAAAGTAAGACCTTTAAAGTTTCAACATTGCATAATAGAGCTAAACATATGTTGTTTATGTTTTAAAAAAAGAAGATACTACGAGCGTCCCGATTGGTCTGAAACACAAGGTATATTGTAGTACGCGCGTCCTGATTGATCAAAAACACATCGTATTATAAGGTTCTCTTCAGAAACTGAAATGCTGTGACGTTGCTTCATAAAAGGTTCTTGGCTGGTGGTTTACAAACTTTTCTCGTGTTCCATAAACCTCCTGCATGGCTTATCACGCTGGTAAACTAATAGTGGCTGATGTTTAATGCTTAATCAACATTTGGAGGTTGCCAATTTGAATGCGTTATTTTGATGACATGTTGTCAGAAATACAAGGCAAATCTAACAGGGCATGTGGCTCAATTCTTTAAAAATAACATAATTTGTAGGAACAAGTCTGTCTCTCCTGATTTTAACCAATAACCTTAAAATCAAGGCATAACCTTGGTGACAAAATGATCCATCAATCTAATTCTGGACAGGAACTGCTGAGAAAAATAATCCATCTTTAAATAACACAATAAGAGCAACCTTCAACAGGGGATTACATTGCAATTCAAAACGGAAGGCTCGTCTCCATTACGCGAAGGATGAGAAGGATTTGGCGCTTATCAACGCTCTCTATCTTTAGAACTACGTTCATCAGACGGTTTTTAATTACAGTTAAATTGGCAAAAACTAATTTTGAGATCAACTTTCTTAACAACCCGTACCTATGTGGAAAATTAAGGTTTGATTCCGCTTCTTCAGATTGATGGGTTCGTAAAATCATAGGCTAAAATGGGATGCTGCGAGGTCATTTGGGGAAAGCAAGTAATTGACTCACCGAACATTCTCTAAGCACAGGGCAAAACTTAATAAATTTAAATAAACTTAATAAATTTAAGAGCTTTAACCTACACGGCCGCCTGTCACAGAACTAGTGTTATCTATAACTTTCTCCCTCTGAAACATGTGCCTTTGGATTTCCCCCGTGGGTCGTCAACGACACTTTTTAGAAACAAGCACCTTGATAAGGACAAAAAAAAAACATGTGCAAACGAATCGATAACACATTGCGGGAGGTTAAACGAGTCTTGCTTGGGATCAGTGTTGCGGCCGGCTTTTTTTCATTTTTTCAATTTATTTTTGTTTTTTTTTTTAATCTTTCTCCGTTTGTTTTAAATTGCGAGATAAGATGAAGATATTAGCACTAAATTCATTAAGGGGGGAAAGGTTCCTTCAGGAGAGTTGTGGGCCGGACTCAAGCCAGACGAAAAAAAACAAAAACAATAACGATTGTAAGTGTAACAAATATTCAGAAAAAGGTATTTGACGGCCTGTTCACCTCACGTCCCTGCGTTTGTCTTACCTCTTGTTTTTGTTCTAATGTCAAAGCTTTAACCCATCGATTACGTGCAAGTGAATCCTTTGAGCGATGAACTTAGCACGCTGATATCAATCCTCTAACTTTCAAGATCTGATTGTTAATTCTCTCCACTTCCTGCTACACAATTCCTTGTAAATTAGTTCAAAGAATTTGGTGTAAGATCAAATTAAAAACTTCTTCCTGGTAAGTTTGAGTATTCTTGTTACCTGTTTACTAGAAAACGTATAGATATCAAAGGGAGAAATTACATGTTTTATCGAAGAGTTAAGGGGTTAAGCCTGAAAGTCGATTGTACATGTTACGTGACGGACAGTTGCTAAACCTCGCCAAAGTAGATTTCATGCCTGTTCAACCGTACTAACGGACAAGCTATTTATGAGCAAGACAGGATACGTATGATTGCAACAGGATGTGATAATAAATAATATATATAATTGGAGGATTTTTACAGGAATATGACCAATTTAGTCTCAGGAAAAGACTAATGGCCATGATGCATAAATACATTGGATATTCCATAATGAAGCTCATCTTTTTTACATTAATCAACGTGTAATCTACTCAAGTAAGATGTGGGTTAATTAAAATGTTTTCTGGATAATTTGTGAATTCACCTCGCTCAAAATAAAACGTGACTTGAGGTCTTGCCAAAAATTCCGGGCCAAAATTAGAATAGAATTGGAACATTAAGCGATCTGTAGTCCATGATCGTATTTTCAACGCACTGATATACGTATGCAGCAGTAACCTTTCACAGCATACATTCTACTTGCAGAATACTCCATCCTTATAAAGTTCAATTCATTAAAATCCAGTCAGATTAAATACCAAGAAAAAATACACCGTAATTTCTGGATGTTTCAGGGCTAAATCTTTCAATATCCTAATTTGGCAGCAGAATCCCGAAGACCGAAGAAATGAAATTGTTGACATAACGGAACGCCTCGTTTAGTTTTCACGCCAGTGAACAATCAACAATAAAACTTAATGAAGGATTCATCCCCGGCTAACATGGCCTGTTTTCTGTCTTTGCCAACAAAAGAATTTCCGGCATTAAACCGCCCTAATATAGACATAAATTTTCTTGTCATCGGAGAAGACGCATGCTTAAGTGACTAGATATTTTCTTTCAAATACCTCTACATAGTACTCTGGGAGCGAAAAAAGAAGAAAAAAAAACCACGACGAAACTTAATTTAACGACAAATACGTTTAAACCTGCGTAAATTAGGACACAA